CCTAAGCAGCCATTTCCGCGTTTATTATTATGATGTCTAGAGAAAAAAATTAGTAGTTCGACTTCAGTTCCAATATGAATTGTATTTTCTTATAAACAGAGTTAAGATGTTGAAATTTGAAAAGTTCAGATTTTCCCTATGACTAGATTGTAAATATATAGGAAGTAAGTTATATAGTAGGAAAGGTTCGTAGAAGTTTTGAAGAAATATAATTCGTAATTTTATATACTTAGAATTTGAGCTTTGCGAAAAGACATTACAGAAAAGTAGTAGTAGTTTATAGAGTTTCATTTATTTTATATTTTTACTCCACTATTTTGTTTAATAAATATATTCTTGTTTTTGCGTCACATGAAATTATGTTATCAAATATCTTATATTTATTGTAGGATGGAGTAAAACTCAAAATACAAAATGAAAAAAGTATATAGATATAGATTAATAGGAATACTATAACATTTTCTAATCTTAAATTATTAGAAAACGTATTACGCTATAGATTATAGGTGGCTAATATTTTAGGAATTCAAGTGTTAATATCACAGATTGTGATATAGTATTAGAAGGCTATTAGAAATGTATGAGTTGGATTTAAAAAAAATTCAAAGTTTCTGAAACAAGTCTTTATCTGTCACTCTCAAAACTTCGCTGTACAATGCTGTGGAACTTTTATGGACACAAGGACCCTTTCTAAAAAGTCATAGTTCTCTTGAACAAAGCCTCACTTCGCTCCTTTTGCTTAACTTTACAAATTTTGTAACCTTTTGACGCAACAATTACCTTTTCGCCGTAACATTGTCATATTTAATTTGAACAAATTTAATAAAAGAGCTTGTAATATAATAGCTTATTTATATTGGATGTTATGTGCTAATAGGGCTGAAGTATTACAAAAAATAAGCAGGATTCAGCTCAAATTGATGATAGGCTTCCTTACTATACACGCGCCAGCCAAAAGATATCTCTTTACAATGGATTTATGCACTATCGAGTGACTCGCGTGAATCGAGTACAAAAACAGATTGTACCCTTCCTCTAAACCTTTAAAAGCTGGTACAGGCTTTAATTAACTTTAATTACAAGCTAAAGCACAGTATCGTAATTAGGGGCACAAAATTTTCTTTCAGGCTGTTCGACTCGACCAGCACTTAAATAGACCATATCGGTGGATTATATCCTTCATACGGACACAGTCTCTCCTAGTGGATAACCTTGGGACCCTCTTGGGTCTCTTCAACTTGGGACTGAGACCTTTCCTTCTCGTTGGTTGGTAGAGCCAGACTGCATCACCTACCTTGAAGCCAAAGGGAGTGGATTTCAAATAGAATCTAGCCTTAATCCGGACACTGGTGAGTTGTGGCTTATTCCTAGCGAAATCGTGGACTTAAACCAGTTGATCCTTTAGGCTGATGATATGCTCGAAGACTCTGGCTTGGTCCGCCTCTCCGTCTGGTAGATTATCATGTAGAAGACCGATGGGAAGCTTGATCTCTCGCGCAGTCAATAGCATTGCTAAAGTATAACTAGTTGCTTTATGTTGGAAGCTTGTTTAGGCTATCAGAAACAGTGGCACTGGTCTATCCCAGTCTCTCTTGTTTTTTGTGTACAAATAAGGGCAGGTAGTTGTTGAAAGTGCGGTTATGTATTTCTATTACGCCGTCGGACTAAGGATGAATCGGTGTCGGTCTGGTCTTCTTAATTTCTAGCAAAGCCATTATGGTCTTCCAAACTTCTTTGTGGAACCATTCCCAAGCAGGGCGTCAACAACTGTGATTACTACTTGGTTAGGTAGTGAAATTTCTTCTGGTCATTTGAAAAATTACTCCACAGCAACCATCAAATATTTGTTACTGGAAATGCTCCTAGAGTGTTGACAGCAACTCGTTACCTTATAGTCCCGGTGATGAATTGTTGGAGTTTTCCCCTTAAGTCTCATTTTGGGCCACGTTTTGAATTTACACAGATCATATCGTTTACACCATTCTTCCACATCTTGCCGACAAGTAACCAAGTAATACTTCTCACGCACTCTGGAGTCCTATTGATTACAAAATGCTCCTCAGAGCAGCTATCATGAAGTTTTGCAAGCGCGTCCTTTACACATATCCGTCGGGGAACAAATTGGGGTACTGTTCATGTTCCATCTGGACTCTTTCATGTACGGGCGATGACACCATCTCGCAGGCACAAGGAATCCCACTAAAGCCAATAGCCCTTCACTGCTTGCTCATACTTGGCAATTTCCTACCACTGTGGCTTAGCTTCATTGTCCAGCCACTTACGTACTATCTTAAAATCCGGATCTTTATTCTGTTTGCCCTGGAGGTTTTCTTTAGTTAAAGCTTTTTCGTTATTTCCTCCCTCTATGGTTTTCAACTGTGGAATCTGGCCCTCACGTTTTTCTTGGCGGTCGCAGAACCGGCAGTTCCTCTATTTCCATGGTCTTTTCGAGAAACTTGGCTAATATTCGTGACCCTCCAATTATAAAATTGGCTGGATCCTGGTCTTTCTGGTCGGTAAGACATACGACAGTAAGCGACTCCACTGCCCCTACGAGTCCGACACCAAAATGAGGGTGGCATGATGCCGAAACATCGTGGGGCTCCACCCTCCCCGTAGTACCTGTGTTGCGATTACGTCACCCGTCCGTTAGTTGCCCCCAGGGAGGGAGGAAAGGCAATGCAAGCGGAGGAATTCCACCTCGCACGTAGACAGGTCGGGTACGTGCCGAGACACGGACGCCACTTTTGGTGGTGCGGGCTGAAAGAGGTGCTTACAGGCTCAGCTCTTTCAACCTCACCTGGTTCTTATGGAGTGAGAGTAAAGTGGTCCCACGAGAGTCTCGTCTCGGATACTAGGAGTGTAGAACTGTGACCGAGATGCCCAAGCCTCCCGAGTTCGTTTCTACAAACCCGACACCTCAAGCCACGGCTTTCCACCTCTCAGTTCTTTCCCATTAGTCGCCTCTTACGACAGGCAGGGACATCTGGCATCGGCCGTATTCTTATCTCCGCGAGCCGAACAGAGTTCTCGAGAGACTGTCGGTATTTCCATGACTTCTTCCCGCTCGGTGGCGAATTTCAAATTCATAGCTCTCTCTAGTTTCTCCAGCCAAAAAGCTATCTGGCCTTCAGGTGTCTTGAAATTGAGGAGCCATTGCTAAGCGGAATGGTCGGTTCTTATCAAGAATCTTCTGTCATAGAAAAATAAATGGTAGTGTTCTTCTGTTTTGACGGTCGCCAGTTACTCCTTCCTGGTGACACAGTAGTTTATTTCTGCTTTTCCTAGGGATTTGCTAAAGTATTCTATGACGAAGATCCCACTTCTCACATCAATTGTTACGTTCTCTATGGATTCAGGTATTAAGTGAAGCAAAAGTGGTTTCACTCTATTTTATTTAACTCAAAAAACTCACTAAATTACAACTATCCTAAATTCTAATTACATCAATAATTATCGGATCGCTTTATTTGCTTGATCGCTTATACGAAACATACTTTATTTATCTCATAAAACTGACTCGTCAAAGACCGAGTTAACGCCTTATATAAGCAAATCGAAAACTTCTTGCATCGATCGAACGCTAAGTTGAAGCATGGCGAAAGAAATGAATATTCTCACTAAAGCACAGGGCCGGAATTAGGGGTACATAACAGTGTCAAGAGTTAATTGAAGATGTACAGGAAGTCAAATGGCTCCGTACGACATTCTAAAACAAGCAGCTTAAAAAACACCTAAAGTTGCTACCGATACTATTCCATTAAGTGCTCCTGCCAGGATTAAATAAACTAAAAAAAAAGAAAACAAAACAGAGGATCGCGAATTTTCATGTGAGTTAACCTATTAAATTATGTTTAATACCTAAATGAAATTGAAGTTAAACTCATCGCTTCTGCTAATAATCGTTTATAATCAACTCGCAGACATAAAGGCACTCCATAAAAATTTCAGTTTCACTTAAAATAGAATTTTTTTTTATTGGGTTAATCCCTCGACAACTATGATCATTGGCATGGTAAAGTCAGGTACCTAGTGTAGTGTGTGTGTGTGTGTGTGTGTGTGTGTGTGTGTGTAGAGTAATTGTCTTGATACTTAGTAAAGTCGACGTCATTGTCTTTGCTAAGAGACGCTAATTGTATCCGAACGTCTGCGGTCCCTCTGGTGAGTACCGATCGCACAAGGATAGAAATTATTTTCATTTATTAATTTTTAATAAATAAAAATTTCTTCACCCAGATGAGATTCGAACTCACGACCTTTAGGTTTAAAGGTAGGCGCTCTTACCACTGAGCCACAGAGGGGGTTAAAATAGAAATTAATACCCATAAATCAAAGATAAACCACTCGACATTAACTGAAGCTTTTGTTATTTTAATGTTCGCTATCAAAGCTATAACATTACTGTTAGGTTCTTCAAATAATATTTGGAAATGTGTTAAAATACTTTATTTTATATTAGGCGTAATCTCAAAGACATGTTACAATTTACAATTATATAAGAAAAAAAAAGGCATGACCATCACTTGACTTATCTAATGACAATTAATTGACATGACAACCTTCTGTCATTCATGCCAACAGAACATTTCAAAGGTTTGCTCCTAAATTCCGTGTATTCTAACAATTACATTAATATTTTATAAGATAATTTAAGATTAGAAATTGTATTGGAATTGTAAATATAAACATCACTTGTATATACCCATTTGAACCTTTCTATAAGTAGTATGAGTTTGTCGTGAATGTCTTTTTTTAACTATAATCTATGTTTTCACGTACACTCTTTTTATCATTGTTAACTATGTATACTTACAACTTTACTCTTTACCCCCACCCTTCATACACGTACATTATTTTCCTAGGATTACCTTTTAGTTGTTTTTTCGACTTTTCAGATTTGGATCATTTGCAGTGCACTTTCATAGTATTTTTTTATCATTTAGCATGTAGATTCGACTTATTTTGAAATACTATCTAATTTTTTGTATTTTGTTTTACAGCCGAAGGAGAAGAGGGAGCAGAAAAAGATGAATCTGAATATGAAAGGTTGGTATTAATTTGGTTTCGGACCGACATGAAAGTAGTGTAGTTGAAATCCTCTCAATTTAAAAGGGAGTTACTGTTTTTCCTAATTTCCATCCATTCTTTTAGAGAACATTGAAAAGCGTTATGGGCGAATCTATTTTTTATATTTATATTTCATTATTTCAAAATATTAACTGCCAAACTTAGGGTCTCTCTAAGACTTCTAGGTCTTCCCTAATTTATCCATGCTCGACCTTGTCATTGTCCAATGGTATGAAAACATGGGCAATGACAAAGTCGAGCATGGATAAGGGCATGACACATTGGCCAAAGAGTTTTTAAGGTATTGCGGACATTTGTGATTCACTAATATGAAAGCTAGTTTTCTTAGCTAGCTGTCCATGCTAGTCTTGGAATGCTTTTGAACATATTAAGAACACAAGAAATTGATGGTAGAGATCTATGTATCATCTTCTTCTTCCAGTGCCGTCTCCACTAATAGAGGTTGGCTATAACCATTGCAAAATCGTCTCTATCTTCTGTTCTTCTTAACAGCGTCTGTGTGTTTAACCCGGCCCAGTCGCGAATGTTTTTCAGCCAGGATATTTTTGTCGTCTACTACTTATCATTTTTAAGTATGTGCCCCAAATATGATGTCTTATGTTTATTGTTAAACCAAACTGTTTTCCAGTATCACAAATTGTGTTTAGTAACGTTTGCAGGTCTGTCTCACTTTCAGCGATAATGACTGTATCGTCAGCATAACGGATGTTATTTATATTTTCACCATCTATCTTGATCCCTTCTGTACAGTTTTTAAGTGCTTGCGTAAAAAAATCTTCAGAATATATATTAATTAGTAATGGTGAAAGTACACAGCCCTGTCTTACTCCTCTACTTATCTGTTGCAGATCCGTGCCATTTCCATCGAATGTTACCACAGCCTATTGGTTCCAATAGAGATTTCTCACTATGTTAATGTCATTTTTGTCAAGTCCTTTTCTCTTCACACATTCCATGAGAATGTTATGTTTAACTTTGTCGAAAGCTTTCTCATAGTCTATAAACGCAACGAAAAGATCTTTTTGTTGGTCTCGACATTTTTGGGCAAGAGTTGTGAAACTATACAGAGCTTCCATTGTTCCGAAGCCGTTACGAAAGCCAAAGTGTCTATTAGTCATATCCGCGCTTCGCACTTTTTGAATATTCTTGCATGTATAATCTTTAAAATTGTTTTTAATAAGTGTGACGTTAAGCTAATTAATCTCTTCTTCTTCTCATGGCACCGTCTCCTTTCGAAGGTTGGCGATCCAAATGGCAATTGTGATTTTGGAAACTGCTACGCGAAAGATTTCTGCGGATGAGCGGTCGAATCATCTCATTAGGTCTTTCAGCTATGAGTTCTGGCGTCTTCCTACTATAATGATTTTATTAGTCCTAATTTATTGTCTTTATTCTAATTTATTAAAACTCACGATAATTTATCAAAAGTCTTTATTTTATACTAATTTATTTTACACTTAATAATTACAAATAATTTATTTGCGTTCGATACAATTTAAACCACATTCCGCGAGTTTCTTTTCTTCACTGGCCGCTCAATGAAAATCTTCCGTTATTTATTTGAAACCAGCTGGTAAACAGAATGTTGTGGAAAATACGATGCCATTCTTCACAGCGGCAATGATCTAAAAACTGGTATCGGTGCGATTCCAGAAAGCTCTTATTTGTCGTTTTATAGCGAAGGGGACCCAACGGGTGTCAGGTAGATTTTGACCTAGAAATTACGAGAATCGATAAAAAAGAATTAGTCATAAAATATTTACAGTTCTATACGCCATAACATTTAAAATCGTAGCACTACTGATCTTTTGCCCTGTACTTTTCCTTCCAGTATAACTTGAAGTAATTAATATTTCTCGCCTCTCAACACATGACCCAACTATTGCATTTTCCTGTCTTTGATTATTCTTAGTAATTCTTTTTGTTTACACATTCGACGAAGTACCTCAACATTAGTAACTCTTTGTACCCATGTAATTCTCAATATTTGTCTGTATATATACATCTCAAAGGCATCTAGTCTTTTTTCTATTTCAGAGTCCATTGTCCAACTTTCACAGCCATACAGTAAGACAGAAAAAACGTAACATCTAATCATTCGGATTCTAAGCTGCAGACTAAGGTCTGATATTGATTCTGATTAATCTATAGTCATTACATTCTTTGGTGTTCTTGGTTTTTGGTAGCGGAACAAAGGTCGATGGCAGCCATTCTGTAGGTATCTCATCAGGTTTATATGTGTTGTTAAAGAGTATAGTTATTGCACTTAAATTGTCTTTGTCTACAAGTTCAATCAGCTCAATATGAACTTCATCTGGCCCAGGGGCTCTGCAAGATTTTGAATTGTTTATACCATGTTGAACATGGACCGTTTTTGTGTCCATGAAAAGATCTTTAATATATTTAGTCCCTATTTATCATAAAACAACTTATATTGAACGGTGTCATATGAGTCGATCGAAAATTAATCAACGAATGTTACATTCAAAGGTGTCAGACAGGGATGCATTCTACTCCCGCTATTTTTTAATCAGTCTTTGAAAGACAAAGATTTTGAAGTGAAAAACAATAATGAACTTATTAATAATCTTAAATTCACTGAAGACACTATTATCTTATGTGATAAGTACCCAAATAATTTAAGGATTGTTGCATTGCGTAAAAACGACACAAAGGGAAATGAGTCTAAAAATGAATGGTCCTTTCATACCACTTTCATACCTCAAAATCTCATCCTTGACCAACCACAACATTCTAAGAAAACACATATCTTAGTCCCTTCTTCCTTTGTCCAATCCTATTTTTCTGTCTCCTCATTTCGTCCTATTATACAAACAAAATATCTACCGGTTTCTTGTTGACACAATATCTACGTTATCCTAGACCATTTGGAATAACCAAAATTGAAATATATCGTTTCGGCCGGCTAGAAAAAAATTTACCCATTTTTTTTTTTTTTTATTCTAAACAATTTATGCAAATATTTCTTATTTAATACTAATATTTTCTACAGTTACAACTGCTTTTAAATGAATTTTAATATTAGAAAAATCCCGAAACCGCATTTTTATTTTCAATGTTCATTGTTTCGTAAAATTTGTATACCTTAATTTGCCCTTTCAAATCGATTAAGTATTAACAGTTCTTAAAATCGCTTTAATTACAATAACACACTTTTCAATGGAGTACAATATATCCTTATTTACAATAATATTTTAATATTATAGTGTATTCGTCTTCCGGGTTTGGACCGTGTCATTTGTGAGTGACCCAAAAGTGGGTTCATCTCGACGTTTCGCTACAATTGTAGGTAGCTTCTTCAGGAGAACAAAGAAAAAGAAATCAAAAGACAGGAAGATGGGTAGTTAGCAACGGTAACTCAATTACTCAATGCAACCAGAGGCGAATACTAACTACCAAGATGGGCATTTGGTCACAGTAACTCAACTACTTAACGCAGCCAGAGGTGAAAACCAAATGCCAGGACAGGGATTCATGTCCAACATCTCAGAACACTAACGCGTCGAGAGGCGGGGAGTGAATCCGACGATTACTCCGCTACCGCTCTATTTATAGTCGCGGTGACCTGTTGTGTCGGGACGTATCGGCACACTCCGTGGCGCGAACGTCAAGAAGCGCGCGCTGGCCAATCATGTGGCTGCATCGTGGTAGCGGGACCGGACGGCGGCTCTAGACTGAGATTCCAGATGGGAGACAAGTAGTATCCTTCCTCTCGATTGATATTATGTGGATTTTTTCGGATCTCTAGAGATTCGCGGATTTTCCTGGAATAAAAGAAGGGGCTCTTAGAAATATTATGGGTTTTTTCGAACAATATGGAATGATCGGTTTCTTGGCAGTGTTCTGCAACTGCACAATGGGAGAAAAGACCTGTGTCTATTGTAGATCGACCTGCACGAAAACCAACCTGTTCTTCGGCTTCCATATCTTGGTATTCTTCTATTCGATTTTTTATTATTTTCCCATATATTCTGCTAATACTACTAGTAACTGAAATTCTTCTATAGTTTTCAGGTTTCGATTTATCTCCCTTTTTATGGATGGTGCTCATATGCGATTCTTTTCATTCCTTAGGTATTTCATGTTTATTTATACATTCCTGTAAAAGTTTTCGTAGCCATTGAATTAGTATTTTGGGTCCATGTTGGATGAGTTCTGGAGCTACATTTCCTGGGCCAGGTGATTTGCCATTCTTTAGATGTCTGCATACGGTTTCGACTTATCTTTCTTGTAGACCATAGTTCTTTAGCTCTTTGAAGGGCTCTCTTGTCTCTGTTAGTAAATCTTTAAAGTATTCTTCCCAAGTTTGCGGTAATATGGACTGGATAATATCTCTTTTTTTGTTGTTTCTTAAATTTTTTAACACTTATAAATGATTAATAGCACAATTTATTTTGGTTACATTAATATGACATTCATTATTGTTTTTTAGGCGGGTGGCAGACCAGCACCAACTATCCGAAGAGATGAAAGAACTACTTAAAGAATTAGAAAAAGAAAGCAAGCAATAAACAAGCCAAATCAAATATGAAACCTAATAATATTGACATATCCCCATATCCTCGAAACAATTCCAAATGTGACAAATAAGTGTATAACTTAATATTCGACAAAAATAAACCTTGCAGTTTGACTTATGCTTCAAAGCTTTTGCTTATTTCAGTTGCAAAACGATGTCTAAAATAAAATTTGGTCCATTCAGCACTTTCCTTTTTAGGAAAAAACGCCATTTTTCAGACAAGATTAATATTACTACAATTCGTAACTAGCATTAACTCAAATTCAATGTTATATATTTTTAAAGCAATGTATATTTTAAATTTTTATTTATGTATTTATTTATAAGCTATTTTTGGAGGAATTCTTCAAAATTGGAAAATGTTATAGTCAAATATTTTTGCTTGCTAGGTTTTACAACTCAAAGCTTTAAATACGAACAATTTTGAAGGATTTTCAAGAGTTTCGATCAAGGGCGGCTATGGGTAAAAAAAGGGCACGATTTCACTTTTTGTTTTCAGGATGTAATAAAAAATTTGCTAAATGCAAAATGATAAATGGGGGGCTGACTCCGGAAAAGTGCCCTCTAGCGCCGCTCTTGAAAACGACGTACTTATAGAAAGATAATGTTAAGTTAGTAACACTAACTTACAATAATTTTGAGAGTATTTATGCTGATAATTATTTGTTTTTGTTATAGCTGTTATTTTTATATATATGTATATGCTTTATTGTAAGTTAAGGTTACATGTTTGTATAAAATGAACGAAAGCAAGAATGACGATTTTTTAGATTTAAATAATGTTATTTAGCTTCTATGAATAACGTTTTTTTGTAAAATTACTTCCCTTCAGTTTGTTTTTGTTATTTGCAAAAAATCAGGTTAGTGGTTTTTCCTGTTGCTCGTATTGGATAAAATAAATTGAATGGAAGTAATTTATTTCATATTATTTATTCTCAATCAATGTGAAATACCTGAATATTTAACCTGTGTATCTGAAATATTACAGATAATAAAGCTTTCAATATATACTTTTGTCTTTTATTTGTTTTTTTTTATTTACAATCCCAATAAGTAGTTATTGTCAATCATGAGAAACACAGTCGAAGGCCTTTAAAAGGCCGCACAGCGCTATGGCAGAGTGATTATGCTTTTCAAGGTCATCAACTATGGCACTCATCACATCTAAAAGTGCATGTGTTGTGGAACGATCCTTTCTAAACCCATATTGCCAAAAAGTAAAAAAATTGTTTTGAAAGACGATATAACACACTTCTTCAGAATTTTTTCGATTATTTTACTGAATATCGAAACAATAGAAATTGGTCTATAATTCTCTACAAGGTCACTATTATATTTTTAAAAATAGGAACAATCTTGGAGTATTTAAAATGAATCGAAACGCAAACGTCAAATTAGAAAAAATGAATTCGATGAAGCTGGAAATTTTTAATAGTTCAAAATTGTGTCGTCTGGTGGACGGAATTTTATAACATTCACAGCAATTTCAACAAAACAGTTATTGAAAGAGTCACAAGATATGTTGGTTGTTGAATTATGTAAACCATTTGTTTTATTTCGCTCATAGTTAATTACCTTCCAACACGTCTTGGATCTACTCTTTAAAGTTAATATTAATTGATCATATTATTATGCCACCTTTTTCGTTCTTAGCATTGTAATGATTTTTTATCTTTTATATTCGCTGTAATGTACTGTACTGTAGAATCAGCACGTATTTTATGTTTGCAAATGATTTCTCATATTTTTTAAGTTATCATTCAACTAGTTTACCGGACATCTTCTGTCTTTGATAACCAGTTTTTTTAGTGGAAAATATTGCGTTACTGCAAGATTATAATTATCTGTTAGAAACGTTGCTAGGTAATTTACATCAAGATTAATATTAAAAATGTTCCATTCTAACACAGATAAAAAGTTCCGCATTTTTAAGATACCCTTCTGCGTAGAGGCTCTAGTGCAAACACTTGACTTTTGCTGAATTGATATACCTACTGATATACTGGCCGCGATGATCAGAGAGACAAGGTTCAAGAACATTTGCCCGAAACTGATCTTCTTTAACATTTGTCATAATATTGTCTATACAAGTGACAGATGTATCAGTAATTGTAGTACAGTCATGGATTGTTATAATGATAATAAAATGATAATATTATAGAAGTCAGCTCACTAGTATTCGCCGTTTTCACAATAAAATTAATATTAAAATCTCCCAAAACTATTGCTTTTAAATTTGGCCTCATAATGGAACCTAATAAATTTTCGAAATTTGTAAAAAGACTTAAAATCGTTACATTTACACGATCTATACAATGCCAATATAACCGTGTTAATATCTTGTAGAACAATCCACAAAATTCAGATGTTTGTTCTATATTAAATTTATCACAGTTAATAGCTTCGAATTTTAAAGATTTTTAACATAGATTACAGTACCACCGTTCTTTTTATTTTGCCTACATAAACTGCTAGCAAGTAAATACCCATCGATGTTTATGTATCGGAGATCTGCTTCACTCTGCCAGGAGTACTAAAGAACATCGAAGGTAAATTCCAACAAAAATACATCTATCATTTGTACTACTTTATTTGCTAAACATTGAACATGAACATGGAACATACTCACCAGGCTTTTGCTATTCAAAATATAAATTAGTTTTTCAGGAACTTCTAAACTTCCTACGTCTCAATCTAGATTGTTTCCATTTGTGCGGACTGCTGCATTTCCACTAAAGTTTTGTAAATTTCTGATATCTTTGATTACAAAGGAATTTTCTTCCCGTGTCTCTGCTGCAGGCACATCTGTAGCTATAGTCAAAGTTATTAATTGTCTGCTGACTGCGTTCTTTCCCGAAAATGTTTAAATGAATTTGAATCTATATACAACATACATTGTCTAGACTTTCTAAAGGGAATGACACTTATAAGATGATTGCTTATCAGTTCTATTCCATTCCCCACAATCAAAACATATTTCTAGCGCCGTTTCTTTAAAAAAATCCTTCAAATCATTTGAATTCATATCGGCACCGACAAGTGAAACGTGCAGATGTCCCCGTCGAGAGAGTGTATTAAAATTAGAAAAAATTTTGCTACCCAAAATCGGTTTGTTATATTTATTTATTTATTTTGTGTCGAGAAATTCCTTTCGGAATCTCCTACCGGTTTTTTATTTGAACCAATATTTTGTTAATTAGGTTTTTGTTCAGGTTCTCTAGCCGACACAATTTTTTGCTCATTTATTTTATATTTACTTGAATCTGATATTTTACTGGTAGATGGCGGTACATGTTGCAAAATTGAATTAGTATTTCGTAGTTTTAACAATAATATTAAATCTTCTTGTTCTTGAGTTTTTTCAAGTTGATAAAAAAATCTACTTACGATTTCAAGTTCTTTTTTAATAGTGTCATAATATAAGTAAATTACATACTATTGCACTTGATATAATTTGTTTTGCTGGCAGTTTTCAAGCATCTTGGTATATTTGATCCTGTCTCATCAACACATTTGATGTTGTTTTTTTTGCCAGGGGTTCAGAGTAGGTTTATTACTTTTTGTAGATCAATATTTTCTATCCACAAAGGAAATATCGCAATATTAATGGTTTACAAAAAATGGATTCATATTTATTTATTTATTTGGCTCCAATGCTCATATCACAATTTCAGTACAAAAAATAATATAGAAAACAAGGCACGTACAAAAGCTACACCGTAGAAATGAGTAACAGCAGATTTTGCAAACAAAAATTTAATCATAGTAAGAATAAGCTTTTTAGACATATCGTTCTTGGATTTTTAAGAAGCCTCCGCCTCAACTAATGCCATCACAGTAAAATTAACATCTTCAGAGTCTCTCTCAATAAATTCTTTGCACACTTTCGCAGCATCCTAAAACAAATAGAGTAATTAATATAATAATCAATCATAGCGAATGAATACACTAATATCCAGTTCAACATGTAAGCTTTTTAAAAGTTTTCAGTTGGCTGATGAAACGTAAACGGTTGCAAAAGGAAATTCAGAAGGTTAAAATGGAGAAATTAATTGAAAATGTAAAAATTATAATGTTTAAAACAAATTTTAGTACTATTTGAAATAAATTATTACTGATGATTACTGATACCTGCTCGCCAGACAAGTTGGCGGAACCATTTAAAGGGTGTTTTTTTAGAGGTATAGAAATATAAGTTGGTAACACTTTTTTAACTGTCGGTCATTTTGACAGCTGTCAACTGATTTGTGTTAACCCTTTTTCGCCACTATCGGGACAGATATGTCCCGACGGATATTTCAAATTAACTGTTGGACTATATTCTCCCAAACATACGTAAAAGTTTATGTATTCAGTGTTTCTAAGTCTTTGTGGAGGTAGGCAATACAAAATACAACGTATATTGTGATTCATTTTTCAGTTATGGCGGCAGAAATAGTACACGTGTTGTACCGCTGAATTATAAAAGTGAGATTATTGTAGAAATCAAACTTCTGACGCTTTGAAAAGCCAATTCTATACATACTAGTGGATTTAACAGTTACAGGTAAAACCCAGTATCTACTGGCTAATCAGTTATAACTAAGTATCTAGTTTTTGTGGTCTATGAGTACGGTTTTCACGTATCCACTGTGGATTTATTTCCTATTGCTTCCATAACCCGAATTATACTAATAAAACCTTACCTCCAAAAAAGTTTCATGAGTTGTTTTTCCGTGCGTAACAGGAAATTCTTTTCGTCCATCTAATTCATAAAGTTCTCCATCTTTTTCTACTAAGGCTACAAAGTGGTGGTTGACCTGCTCATCAGGTTGGACCTAAAATTGTAAAAGGTAATTGATGTTTAATTTATAACTAAAAAGACCAGTACACTATTATTTAGCAAAACTAAATTTAAAGGATTATGTCCATGTAATGGTACAATATGTTTGGAGTTTCATAGGCTGTGATCTGGAGTTATTTCTTCCTGGCGTGTCATCTGCAACTGCGGAGTACATTATCAAAAGTGATGCGGCAGCTCACGTAATCGTCTGTCGCTCACCTAAATCAATGAAGCACCATTGGTCTTGAAAGCTTACATTCCTTTAGAGTCAAGCCTAGGTTTGCAAAAACCACACGATACTATAAATCTATAGTTTTTTAATACAAAAATAATGTTACGTTACTATTTATACAAACTGACGTTACTTGTATTTTAAATTTCCATAACGTGAACCTTAGTTAAAATTTCCTAATACAGCTAAAAATGCGACACTCATACAGAGCTGCTCGATCTTTCCAGCAAAAATAAAAATATTAATAATAACAATTGAAAAAAAAATGAACCCTAGTTTTCTGAGTCTCTAATATCATCAAAGAGCTTCATAACTGGAAATCTCCTGGACCAGACGGAGTTCAAAACTTCTGGCTTAAGAAGTTCTGGAATGCTCATAAGTGCTTATCAACACTAATTAATCGTGTTATTTCTAATCCGCAGGAAATATCATCATTCCTAACTCAGAGAACAACTTAGTTAATACCGAAGTATAAAAAAAATACCCAAAATCCAGCCAAGTACCGTCCAATTACGTGTCTTCCAACTCTGTATAAATTGGTCACATCCTGTGTAGCCCAGCGTATCTACCAACACTGCGCTCTAAACAATATCATAGAACCTCAACAGAAAGGATGCGCTAAGGGTTCCATGGGTTGCAAAGAACAACTTATTATCGACTCTCACTTCTAACCAGTCATACACCAAAAAAAGGAACCTCTTCACTGCCTATATTGACTATAAGGAAGCCTTTGACTCAGTGTCGCATGAATGGCTGGTAGATATAATAAGTATATATAATATATATATATATATTGTTATGCTATTTAAATTGTATTCTATTGCTTATTTAGAAAAGATCCTGTCTATATTTATTAAATGATCTAATCTCCAATTAATCACACTAAATCAGCATTAATTAATTACAATCTCAGGCTATTTAACTTGTACTATTTACCTTTGATCGTGGATTCAAAATATTTTCCAATTGGCTTCCTAATTGGGATAGGTAATATGACCTGAATAAAATACACAGAATTTCAACTGAAGTATATGTGAGATGTCCTTTATTTTATTGAAATTTTATATAACAATCAATCCTTTAATATTTGCAATACAATACTTTAAATATATGAGAAGTTGTTTTCTATCATGGACCCAAATGTTATTTTACACTGATTTTTAATATGTGTTATAACTAAGCTCTCTTTATAATTTTTTTCTTTAAATGATCGCAAAATTAACTGTCTCTATTATTTATTCAATTTATTTAATTAATAAATGAAAACCACACTCCTGCTCTAATGAAAATTGACTGACCTTTCGTTATCTGCCGTTGCAATTCTATGGCCACGCCATAAAAAAAAAACCTTTCTCTGCTTCTGCTCCTATTTTGGTCCAGAAGACGTACACCTTTCTCCTATCTGTCCTTGTATCTGCAACCCAACAACTCGTGTAATTCTATGCAGCCTCCTTTTGAACCAGTCTCCGCGCCTGTTTATAACTTCAAATGTTTCCGGCTTCGTCTGATATTAATATTCTTATACCCTTTGGTTTTTCTATCTCTCTGTACCCCGTTCCTCACACTGATCAGCTTTTACACAGCAAATAAACACACCCGGTAAATTACGTCTTCGGGACTTCAAACAAACACAAACCACAAAGCTCCTTCCTTCTTGGGCGACGAAAACTGACTAACTAACTTTTTTCCTCTCTCCTATCTCATAGCCAAAACCACTACCTCCATTCCATTCAAAAATTGACCAATCAAAATCATCCACCTCTGTGACGTATCGTTACCAACCAACTCCTCTTTATAAAACGTCATTCGGGTAATTCCAGAAAACAACATTCTTTAATTATTCTAACTAAATCTATCTGCTTTACAAATATTTCTTACTAATAGCTACAAACGATACCTGTTTCTCAATTCAATGTCTTTTGTTAATAAACTTTTACCGATATAATCTTTCGGGGGGAAAAACCACCGCACATCCCGGTCTATTGTTTAAACACTTTCTATATACACTTTTATTACGGGTAAATCCATTTCACAATAACCGACTTATTTAAATTTCTTATCGATAATATTTGGAAGTCTTGTCTCTGAGGCCTAATGAACAATTCTTTGAACAACTTAAAATACATATTTTGTCTTATACAGGATGTTTGAAACTTTATATGCCCGTATCTTTATGAAATATCAATAATCTTAATTTTTATTTAAGTAATAAAATTTGTATATCGGTTTTTATTGCTAATGGACATTCAAAAATACAACAAATCCCCGCCTTTGTAATCGATAAAATTTATCAATCTATGCAACTAAATTTTCTCGAGACAAACTAAAACGCACTTCCTGTATGCTAACTGTACTTATGCTACGTATTTGTGGCCACTCGGTTTTCCTTATTTATCAGCGTTTCATAGTCTCTTAAAATTTTACGCAAATCATTTTCTTTGCCTTCTCCACATATCCATTTTGTGTCTCTCCCATCAAATTCTTCGCACATATTCACCGTGTACTCCGTGTCTTTTTCAAACACCACTGTCTCCATTGTGTCCTCTTCATTTTCCTTTGTTTTTTTCTTCTGTTGGGCTCGTCTCTTCTTTTGAGGAATCCCAAGTTTTGCTTTCATTTCTTGTCAAAATCTTTCCATCTTCTTCTCCTGAGCTCGTCTCATCTTTTGAGGAATCCCAGGTTTTTTTTTCTTTGATCTTTTTCTGACCTTTTCCCCTCTTTCTTTCTTTTCCTTTCTTTGTCACCAGGTTCATTTCCACCGTTTGTTCTTTCTCTGATTCGTCCGTAATTTGTTTCTCTTGTTCCTTATCCTGTTCTTCTTCTTTTTCCTTTGTTATTTTCATCGTATTGGTTTTGAAGTCGATCACTACATGTTTTTCCGTTAATTCGTCAACGCCTACAATCATGTCATGTGACATATTCGGCATTATTACACATTGAAGTGCATACATATTTTTTTTCAATCGTACCATTACTCGTATACCTTCATTTATTGTTGCCAATGTCCGTTTATTTGCGCCCACTAAATTCACCCTAGGTATTTTATAAATTAGACTTGTTAAATTTACTTCTTCGATTAATTTTCTGTTGACCAGTGTTATTTCAGAGCCTGTGTCTATCATAATTTTAATTGGTTTCTCATTTATAAATCCATCCACAAATTTTAAATTAACTCCATTTCTCTTTTCATTGTTTCCTGCCAGTTTAATAAATTCCTTGGGGTGACAAAAAATTCCTGTTTGTTTCTTCGTTTTTAGTGAGCGCCTTCTTGAAAACACGCCTGTTGTTCTTCTGTGTTTTCTCGCCCGTCATCTTCTCTCTCATATTCATTTTCTTCTCTTTGCATATTATTTATTTCTCTTCTGTTCTCTTTTGGTCTATCATTCCCGTATCGGTTACCGCGAGATTCCTGTTCATTCCGTGGGTTATTGTATCTGTTTCCTTGGTATGGGCGGTTATTTCTACTCTGATTTTCCCGATCCCTGTTTTCATTCCATCTCTGGGTTCTGGGTTCATAATTCTCTCTTCCTTTCGTCTATTTTCGTATCCCCGTCTAGGTATGAATTCTCGTCTTGGATAATCTCTTCTAAAATTTTGACCTCTATCTCTATATTCTTGGTTTTCTCTTTGTCTATAATTTTCTTGCGGTCTTCTTTCTCTTCTTTCATGCCTACGTGATTCTCTCATTTGCAAAATTGACATAAGCTGTCAATGTCCTTGTAATTTTGGAGATTTATGTGGTCTTCCAAGGTATCTTCAAAGTGTCGCGATATCAACTCTACCAATTGTTCTGATGAATAATTATATTGCAAATGTTTTGCATTATTATAGAGTTGTAATGCGTACATCGTTTCTGATACGCCCATCCTCTCATGGTATTTTCCATTTTGTAACTCTTTATTTACTTGTAGTTGCTGGATTTTTCCCCAGAAATAATTTAAGAATCTTCTCTCAAAATCTTGCCAATTGTCAAATTCTTCTTCCTTGCTGACAAACCAAAGATTTGCCTCTTCTTTGAGATGGTTTCGGATGGTTTCCTTTGCTGTTGCAAACGGTCCTATGTATGTGACTTTTTTCTTTAGGTTATTTATAAAAGGCACTGGGTGTAGTTTCCTTATATCCCCGCCAAATCGTACTTTTACGTCTTCTGTGCTATGTACGATAACTTCCTTTCTTTCTACTCCTCTTATCTCCATCTCTGCAATTTGTTTTTCATTTTGCTTAAGTTTCCTTTCCATTTCTTTCCTGTCTTCTAGTAACGCCATTTCAAATTTTTCTTCTAACTGTTCCAGTTCCTTTTTATGGACAGCCTTAATATCCTTCATTTTAGTTTCCATTTCTTCTCTCTGCATCTCTAGTTTCCTCTCTGTTTCACTAACTTTTTCTAAACAGACTTTTACTTCATTTTCATATTTGTCCAAACGCTTTTCCATTTTTCTATCATTTTCTTCTAATTTCTGTTCTATTGCTTGTCTTGTTTTCCGTTGGTTTTCTTCGATTTTTAGTGATGTTTCTTTTTGGTTTTCTTGTATTTGTTGTGTCTGTAATTGCATCATTGCTAATAATTTTTCTAACATCCCTGTTTCTTTTCTTTCCTCTATTATTGTAACATTTCCTTCATTATCCGATCCTTCTTCAAACATTGTTTCCTCTTCTCTGTTATCCTCCTTCCTTTCTTGCATTTTGCTTTGACTCCTTGTGGTCGACATGTTGTTTTTGTCCCCGCCAAATATAAAATTCTACTGGTCTGTTGCACCAAACGGGACTTTTCTTGTTCAAATGTAATAACTCTTGAGTACGAGTATCAAATTTCAATATCCCACAAATAAATCAAATGGTAAAATATCAAATGTCAAATTCAATCAAATAAATCTATTATGGTAACCTATAAATTGTCAATATCACGAATAAATCAATTATGGTAAATTGTATCTTAAAAAAATATATAAATCTTTATGTCCTCAAATTTTACATAATATTTCACTTTATCCACGGCATATAAACTTTCAAATATCTGCTCGTCTACTCCTATCCTTTCAAATTTGCCAACTAGAAATATTTTTCAAAGCCCCACGTTGGGCGCCATTTTGTTATGCTATTTAAATTGTATTCTATTGCTTATTTAGAAAAGATCCTGTCTATATTTATTAAATGATCTAATCTCCAATTAATCACACTAAATCAGCATTAATTAATTACAATCTCAGGCTATTTAACTTGTACTATTTACCTTTGATCGTGGATTCAAAATATTTTCCAATTGGCTTCCTAATTGGGATAGGTAATATGACCTGAATAAAATACACAGAATTTCAACTGAAGTATATGTGAGATGTCCTTTATTTTATTGAAATTTTATATAACAATCAATCCTTTAATATTTGCAATACAATACTTTAAATATATGAGAAGTTGTTTTCTATCATGGACCCAAATGTTATTTTACACTGATTTTTAATATGTGTTATAACTAAGCTCTCTTTATAATTTTTTTCTTTAAATGATCGCAAAATTAACTGTCTCTATTATTTATTCAATTTATTTAATTAATAAATGAAAACCACACTCCTGCTCTAATGAAAATTGACTGACCTTTCGTTATCTGCCGTTGCAATTCTATGGCCACGCCATAAAAAAAAACCTTTCTCTGCTTCTGCTCCTATTTTGGTCCAGAAGACGTACACCTTTCTCCTATCTGTCCTTGTATCTGCAACCCAACAACTCGTGTAATTCTATGCAGCCTCCTTTTGAACCAATCTCCGCGCCTGTTTATAACTTCAAATGTTTCCGGCTTCGTCTGATATTAATATTCTTATACCCTTTGGTTTTTCTATCTCTCTGTACCCCGTTCCTCACACTGATCAGCTCTTACACAGCAAATAAACACACCCGGTAAATTACGTCTTCGGGACTTCAAACAAACACAAACCACAAAGCTCCTTCCTTCTTGGGCGACGAAAACTGACTAACTAACTTTTTTCCTCTCTCCTATCTCATAGCCAAAACCACTACCTCCATTCCATTCAAAAATTGACCAATCAAAATCATCCACCTCTGTGACGTATCGTTACCAACCAACTCCTCTTTATAAAACGTCATTCGGGTAATTCCAGAAAACAACATTCTTTAATTATTCTAACTAAATCTATCTGCTTTACAAATATTTCTTACTAATAGCTACAAACGATACCTGTTTCACAATTCAATGTCTTTTGTTAATAAACTTTTACCGATATAATCTTTCGGGGGAAAAACCACCGCACATCCCGGTCTATTGTTTAAACACTTTCTATATACACTTTTATTACGGGTAAATCCATTTCACAATAACCGACTTATTTAAATTTCTTATCGATAATATTTGGAAGTCTTGTCTCTGAGGCCTAATGAACAATTCTTTGAACAACTTAAAATACATAATTTGTCTTATACAGGATGTTTGAAACTTTATATGCCCGTATCTTTATGAAATATCAATAATCTTAATTTTTATTTAAGTAATAAAATTTGTATATCGGTTTTTATTGCTAATGGACATTCAAAAATACAACAATATATATATATATATATATATATATATATATATATATATATATATATATATATATATAATGGCTATACACCCCAGCGTGGGGTTAAACCGCAAATGCTTTCTAGATCCTATCTCTTAAGTGGATCAGTCTTTTTTTTGTTTATCTTATCTTCTTGACAATATCTCTCCATTTTTTCCTGTCTCTAGTTTTTCCTCTCCATTCACTGACTCCTGCCCTTTGGGGGTCTTCTTCAACTTCTTGCAGCCACTTTGATCTCGGTCTTCCCCTTCTCTTTCTTCAGTATATATAAAGTCGATGATAATATAGTGACCTTCTTAAGACATATAATGACAGATTGGAAGACTAAAATTCACCTTCAAATACCTAGTGAAAACAATATCGAAACGGAAAATATCGCAATTAACTGCGGCCTATTTCAAGGAGACTCGCTGAATCCATTGTGGTTCTGTCTAGCGATGAACCCACTATCCCAGCTATTGAACTCCACTGACTCAGGTTTTAGCATTAAAAACAACAACACTGTAGTGACGAAGCTTAATCATCTGTTGTATATGGATGACTAATGGTTTCCACTCGAAATCACTTAGATCAAATGCTAAAAACTGTAAAAACCTTTTCAAATGATATCAGTATGCACTTTGGGTTAGACAAATGTCATGTATTAAATATAGTCAAGGGTAAGGTTTAGAGCCCGGGGGATTCGATATGCAAAATGGTTCAACAAAAAAAACATCGAGTTTATGGGCGAAAATGACATGTATAAATATCTAGAGAGTAAAGCAAGCGCGGAAAATTGACCATAAACAAATGAAAATCGAATTAACATCAGAATTCATACGAAGGGTAAAACAGCTACACCGCTCACATCTTAATAGTAAAAATTTGTTTAAGGCATTAAATACCTACGCATTTTCCGCGCTTAGCTACTCATTTGGGATTATTAAGTGGATTAAAACGGATATAGAAACTCTTCAGAGAAAAGTACGAACACACCTCACAAAGGCACAAAAACACCATCCTCGAAGTACAATAGAAAGAACGACATTACCGCGGTATTTAGGAGGACGAGGACTTATTGATATAGCGAGCAATTAGAAAAACAGATTACTAATTTAAGAACTTATTTTCAGGTGCAGGCGGAGACATCTACTCTTCATCGCGCGATTTGGACAGTAGATGACATAACACCGATCAAACTGAGGCTGCCAGGCATTTGCTGCAACTGAATATAAGGAACGGCATGACTCAGTAGGGAAGATCCTCCATCAAGAGATAGCTTTTAAACTGGGACTTTTACAAACAAACCATCTCCCATATTATCAATACGTTCTTGAGAGTATGCTTGAGAATGACAACTACAAGCTATACTGGGATCGCACTGTGCTCACAGACCAAACTGTAGCACATAATAGACCAGATCTCGTGCTAATTAATAAACTAACAAGCCAAACAACTCTAATCGATCTGGCGATACCTAACAACAATAATCTGCGTGTTAAGTACAACGAAAAGATCGCCAGAGATTACAAAGATCTGTAAATACAAATAAGGAGACAATGGAGAATGGAAATTACCCAGACGATACCTATTATTCTTTCTACCACTAGAGTCATTCTAAAGAACCTCCTAAAAAACATACAAAAGTTGGGTCTAGATAAACATCTATATAAGATCATGCAGAAAGCTGTGCTACTTGCGACGTCCAGATACGTGCGAAAATTTTTGAGAGATACACCGACGTACCAAGTCAGCTATTAGGACTCGATAACACGGAAAGAGTCTCCCCAGAGCTCAATCCTTTAGATACCGTAGGTATCTGGGATGAGTGAATTTTACCCTTAGAGGGAGTGTGAGCCGTATGGCTAAATCTGAATAAAATTTTTATGAAATAATTGTTTACGTTTAGTACTTTTAAAAATAATCATTTTAATTAAATAGATTAGAAAATCGTACGTTACTGGTACGCGTATAATTCAGATTTCAATGACATTAGAGAGATTGGCAAAAATGCTTAGAGTGTTGTCGACAATTTATAATCTTAAAGTAAGAATTTTGTTTTGTTTTGATCTGTTTATACAATTTGATTCACAATATATAGTTTTAATGAACTGATTATTGTTGTGTATTGTATTTAATAAAAATACCTAAACAACTCAAAAATCGTTGCAAAGAGCTAGTTTCTTCTTTAATAAATTATTTTGAACACGTTTAAGTAAATATTTACATTTTTCTGAAACCTTGCATTTTTGTACCAGGAATACTGTTGAGTTTAATATTAATTCTTGTAATTGTACTAACCACGGAAATCATAGTTTAAAAAAAAGCTATAAGGATATTTAATACATTACCTCTGTTTGACCTTCCATAGCAAGTTCTTGATGAGTGTTAATCAAATTAAAAGCTATATCCTCTGCCTTTAGCAAGATATCTCCTCTCTCTTCGGGGGTCATATTCTTAGACTCGGAGAGTAACTTTTTAAATGCTCCTTCTGTCAAATTCAATCTGAAATAGAAGAAAAAAGAGATTAAAAACTGTTTATTATTTTAAATATCCACAGTATAAGCCAAATTTGGATAACAGAACTATGTTTTTATGACGTTTCAGTGAGCTAATAATTAGTCATTAGACATCAAGTGGAGGGTAAGATTTTGAAGATTATATTAGTGAAATTAGTTCTAATTGCTAAGATTTTTTGAAAAAAAAAAGAAGAAAATGTTGTAGGAGAGTTTGGTCTTGGAAAAGGTAACGATAGAGGAGAGCGATTAAGTTAAATCGGAATTCATAACAATACCAAAGAAAAGTAACTCCCGTAAATGCGACTAATTTAGGATCATTAGTTTAATGAAGTACGAAAAGCATTCATCATCATCTTTGGCTCGACAATCCTCTGTGGATCTTGGCCTACTCTAAGATTCGTCGCCATTCTGTTCGGTTTTTGGCAACATCTTGCCATCTTTTGATTTTTAATATTCGTAAGTCGGTTTCAACTCCATCTAACCACCTAATTCGCGGTCGGCCTTTGCTTCTTTTTCCTACAGGTGTTCCTGTGGTTAGCTTTTTAGCAATCATATTTTCTGGCATTCGTATTATGTATCCAGCCCATCTAAGTCACTGTGTTTTAATGAACGTTATGACATCTGGCTCATCAAAGAGCTGATACAATTCAAAATTATATATTCTGCGCCACTGCCCTTGGTCATTTACTGCTCCAAATATTTTGCGTATTTTACGCTCAAATATTCCCAAAAGTCTTTCATCTTTCTGCGTTAGAGTCCATGTTTCTGCTCCATATGTGAGGACCGGCCTCAGCAATGTTTTGTATATAATAATTTTAGTTCTTCTTTGAATGTTTCTTGAGTGGAAATGCTTTTGGAGTCCATAGTATGCCCTATTTGTAAGATTTATTCGTCTTTTGATTTCTTCGCTTGTTTTATTAGTAGCAGTCAATAGCGACCCAAGGTATGTGAAGTTGTCAACACGTCCAAAGGTATGATTTCCAAAGACTGTTTCTCGTTCCTCATTTGCTATCGGATCCTTTGTAACCAACATGTACTTGTTTTTGTCTTTGTTGATGACTAGACCGACCTGTTTCGCCGCTGTTTCCAATTCTAGTGAGATATTGCTCAACATCTCGCTTGCTACGCCCTACTATGTCAATGTCATCAGCATATGCTAAGACTTGTATCGATCTATTGTAAATAGTACCGCCATCCCTAATTCGTGTATCTCGGACTGCCTTTTCTAAGGCAATATTAAATAGGAGGCAAGCCAGAGCATCCCCTTGTCTGAGTCCATCCTTTATCTCAAAGGATCTAGAACTCTCTCCCTGTATTCTAACAGTGGCTTCTACGTTAGACATTGTCATTCTCGTTAGTCGGATAAGTTTCTCTGGTATACCAAACTCATGCATTGATTGGTATAGCACTGTTCTCTTGACACTCTCGTATGCGGCCTTGAAGTCGACGAATAGGTGATGGGTTTCAATATTGAATTCTAATGTTTTCTCGAGAATCTGTCTTATTGAATGAATCTGGTCAATTGTTGATTTTTCTGGAGTGAATCCAGCTTGATATTTACCAACTATGCCCACTGTGTAAACTTGCAGCCTTTCGTAGAGAATATTTGCTAGTATTTTGTAAGCAGTTGTTAACAGGGTTATACCTCTATAGTTGTCACGCTGGAGCTGGTCACCTTTTTTATGTAACGGTCATATCACACCTTTAGACCATTCACAAGGCATGGTCTCATTATGCCAAACAAGAAGTAAAAGCTTATGCAGTGTCTGTAGTAGGGCATCGCCACCATTCTTGTAGAACTCACTGCAAATTTGATCAACTCCTGGTGATTTATTATTTTTAAGCTTTTTAATGGCTTGGGCAACGTTTTCTATGGTAGGTGGTCTTTCGTTTGGGTTGAAAGGATTCCAATCATTTCGATTTGCTAGGGTGTTATCTGCTTCTTCGATATGATAGCCATTAAATTTTGCATCGAAAAATTTAACCCATCTGTTTAGGATTGAGGCCGTATCATTTAGGATGTTTCCTTCTACATCCTTACAGCTTCTTATTCTTGGCTTAAACTCCTTGCGCATTTTGTTTAGATTTCTGTAGAACTTTCGAGTTTCATTTTGATTTCTTAGCCATTCTGTGCTTTCCAACTGCTTTTGCTCAAATTGTCTTTTTTTTCTTCTATGTAATCGTTTTTCTTCTCTTCTTAGGGTCCGGTATTCTTCCTTTGCTCTTCTTGTGCATCCAGCTTGATTTGTCTTTAGGTATGCCCTGTTTTTGTTATCTGTTGCTTCTTGGCACTCCTTGTCAAACCATTCGTTTTCTTTAACTGGTTTGGTTTTCCCCAATATTTTTGTTGCTTTCTCAGTTATTATGTTTTTACATTTTGTCCGCAGTTCCTCTACATTTTCCCCCACCTTCCGGCTCTCCTTTTCCTCGTCCATTTGTCTCCTATACTCTCTCGCAACGGTTTCAATGCGCAGATTATCAACATTAATTCTGTCTTGTTTCGTGTGTTTATCTTTCTTTAGGTTTGATATTCTTCCTCTGATTTTTGCCATTACAAGAAAGTGGTCACTGTCAATGTTGGGGCCTCGGTAGCTTCTGACGTCTATGAGATCGGAAGAGTGCCTTGCATCTATCAGGATGTGATCTATCTGGTTAATGGTTTCGTTATCAGGGGATTTCCATGTTCCTTTGTGTTCAGGGAATTTCCACGAAAAGCATTGTTGAAGACTATACAGAATTTATAAAAAGTGTGTAATAGATATAAGTGACACTCATTTTGATTTAGAAAGACCTTGGAGACGAAAGAGACTCTTTTTAAAACTCTACCAGAATCGATAATCACCAGAAAAAATAATGCCACGAACCCTAATCTCGAGATGTAAAACCATCGTGCCCAGGGAATGATTACACAGGGGAGAAAGTGTTTCCTTAAGCGATATCTCAGAGACCTGGCGAACTCAAGCGGATTATAGCCTTAGCACAGTAAAGACACACTGCCGTGCCTGATAGTTTTTCATCCCAACTAGTGGGAACCAATATGGACAACGAGATTAAAAGTCAAAATTCAAACCAAACAATGAAAGATGGAGAGTGAGGAAAAATGGCTGCTGGGACAGCAGCAAATCCTAATAAAACCAAAGCGGGAGTACCAGCAAAACCCCAGATAAAAAGGGACCGCGGAAAAACAATGGGTTGCTAAAAAACCAAGGGTTTATTGACTGTTGCACCTTTGTATATTTTCTGTAACAACATCTATTAGAAAAATCATGATTTCATGCATGTTATAGTTTCCTATAAAATACAATATTCCTAAAAATTATCTACCATAAGTAAAAGAGAAAGAAACAAACCATTACCTCTCATCATTATTTGCGATACTGTGAATCAAAGCAATAGTACCACATGCATTCGATACTTTCTGTTTCATATACCATATATTTGGACTTATTTCTGGTGCCTTGTTTAAATATTCTTCCTTTTCTTTTTGGGCGTGAGCATAGAACTAAAACAGAATAACTTATTTATAGTATGCGAATATGTAAATATATACAGGGTTGACCAGTATATACAAATATACAGTATATACAAATCCACCCTGATACTTGGCAATATGCATTGCATTTTGTGAAAATGCTTAAACAGGTCGATTTTTATTCCAATGGGTATATCTTTTAACGACATAGATATCTGTCATTTTTCAATCCCCTTCCGTCCAGTACCGCAAACCTTTAATTTAAAATATGAAATACACAATGTGTGACACGTTTAGTTTTTAAGAGGAGTAACACTAAATAAATTGATACCTTTTCACAAGAACACAGTTAATATGGAAAGAAAAATCATGGATGCCTGAATTCTCCAGCCAAATGTGTACCTCTTCTCTCCTGATGCCACCAAATATGTAACTTCATCGATTTTAAATAATTTTAAACTGTTTGTCCTTGTGTCGTGTTGTGTTAATATATCATTTCGCACATTGACAATAAGACTGACACTATACAAAAAATGTAATGTTCGAGTATTAAGCATTCCAATCTAATGAGCATTTACAATTAAATTTCTTGCAGAAAATGTTCAATAACACTATTAGGTCATCTTCATATAAATGTTTAGTGATTGTATTAAAGGTTATGAATAAAAAAAAGGTGTTTTTTTAGTTTTTTATTAAAAAATAAAATTAAAATTGTTACTGTTCAAAAAATTCTGTATAGTGACACTATTCCATATACATACATACTACGTGTGGTTAACATTATTATTAATTAATGGCACTAAAGCGTAAATTAATACTATACAAAAAAAGCATAGTTATAATTACAATTAACACATAAGCGTACTTCAGTCTTTGGCGGTACATAAATCAGCATATTATTCTGAAGCTATTTTCTTGTGGCATTTTAATTTAATTACTATTTAACTGGGAATAAGCCACAATTAAAGATAAAAATACGTTTACTGACGTTTCAATTTCCACTTCGGAAATCGATATTGTTGAGTTGCGCTCCTGGGATGACTTTACTTATAAGATAGTTTATTCGATTACATGAAATTAACTTTAACTTGAGAATATCCGTCAGAAAAAAATCATAGCATGTAATTCATATTTAAAAAGACAAACACATGACATGATGACAGTAAAATTCTCCTGTTAGTGATTCCATAGTAAATTATGAGGGAAAAACCAGGAAAAAACCTCATAATACTATCCCGACATGGTAAGTATTTGTTTGTGCATTTAGTTTACCTTCAATAAACACCAAAATTCTGATTTTATATGTTTCGTTATTTAAAAAACATAAATGATGTATCCTCTATATGTTACTGACTTACTAATACTGGTATTTTCTTATTAATAACTTCTTTCAATATTGGTAACCAGATCCTATGGCCTAATTGGCCTCATTTAGCATAATTAGAGCTGTTTCTTTGATTTTTCTTTTTTTACCATCCGTTTCTTTTAGGACTACATTTGAATTATTCCATTGAACCCTATGTTCATTATCACATGCTTGTTTACATATCTGAGATCTATCAAATTCTCTATTTTTAATATAAGAGTGATGTTCACTTATTCTAACATTTAATGGCCTTGATGTTTCACCTAAATAAAACTGATCGCATTCACAAGGTATTTTATAAATAGAATAATTAAAGTCCAAAATAATCAATAAGAGCACAATAATCAGCATTTTTAAAGTCCAAGTATGATTCAGTGTATGAGAGCCAGTTACAAGTTACCTAAACAAATATAACATTAAATTACAGTGTGACAAAAATTATTCTCCAATATTAAATCAGATGCTTCAACTATAGTTACTGAATGAGGATGATTACAAAATAATAAACCTAAGAATACATTATGAGAGTTATGTAAGGAGTTAAGTGTTTAACTCATTTTAAAATATAAAAAAGAGAAATATTCATTTATGACAGTAGCAGGATCACCCACAAGGCAGTGTGTTAGTAAACTATCTCCATCAGTGGAACTTCACAAATCCAAATTATAATCTACAAATAAATCAGCCATGAATTAGGGGTATGTGTGGCAATATTTTCAATTGTAGTACTGTGATATTTTGCCACCAATATTAAGCTTAATAAAAAAGGTGTTCCACAGTTGGAGTAACAGTAAGCTGATAAGCAATGAAGCACTGTTTGATTACCACAAGTACACCTTCTCTTAAATAAGATCTAGTGTTTAGATTACCTGTCAACTTGAAAGATTGTGTAACCAAGTCATCTAAGCTCTGCAGCAGGAATTTGGTCATTCAACCATGTTTCCACCAAGGAAAGTAGTAAACACTTAACTTCTGTGTATTTTATTCGTGCATGTGAGATGGATTGTATAATAATAAAATACATGAAACCAACGAAAATATTTATTTGTTTCCTTCTATACACTTAACAAAAGTTACTATAATATGTTCATCGCAATACATCTATCACATTCAGACCAGGCCTTTCCTGTTTTCCTTCTGTTGTTGATAGATTGATTGTAACAAATATGGCAGGAACCAATGACTGTCTTCTTTCCTGATGAATTTGGTTAAACTGACGGACCTGGAGCAGCTTCTACAGGTTGTACTGGCTGACCAATCACACTTTCAATAGCGATCCTAATTATTGTTTGCTTGGGATAACATTGATCCTCAATCATTGGTATTGCAAGTTTTTCGCTCAAATGATGTGTAAATAGGTCTAATAGGTTGTTTTTCTTTTGGCATCATCATATTATTTTCGTAATAAATGAGATCTGAAGTAGCTTTATATCTATTATAATATGTGATAATATGAGGTTTATTTTAGCATCATCATTGACAGCCTTGTAGGAATGCATCATTGATAATAATATATCTTTTTTTTAAATCAGACACCCACGAATTGATCTTAAGAACATGCCTACCCTCTCATTTCCAGCTGCAGACACCAGGTATATGTTCTTGGCAAATGTTACTTTGTATCTATTTTACTTAACATGCTTTATTTTTCTTTGGTACATAGGAGCACATTGTTACTTTTTCATGGAATCCAAACAAGTGGAATATACTTGTCTTAATTTATTCAGAGGCTTCACACTTGGAATATAAGGTTTTCTTTTCTTTAAAGTGTCTAGAAACTCCAAGTAAGTATCTTCCTGTCTGTTATCTTTAGTAACTTTACACTGACCTTGAAAATCTTATTTTCTCAATACTTTGGAAAATTGGCACCAGGGCATGTAACAATGTTGGTAAATTTGGGTATGCACAGAAGGTTTAAATAGGTTTTAACTACCTTATCATTTGAACTAATGATACTTTCCCACTCCCATTCTGTCTTTTTCTCACTAAAGATGTTTCCCAGTATTTCCCTTTTCAATGTATCTTGCATTTTCGAAGGGTACTAGTGCTCCATAAGCATACAGGTACTTCTATGTTTTATATATTCTTAATTTGCAATCATATGAGATGTTCAGCAGCCTACATGTCTGGTTTTTTCAAATCTTATTTTTCCATGATTATCTATCATTAAATCCTGGGCAGTCAAACCAGTCTATACTTTCAAATTATACCCTTTACATACTTTAGTATGCTCTCTGTACTATGATCATCTATTGTTTCTATTTGTATTTATTTTTAGCTCATACTGTACTACTTTTGAAAAATAAAGAAGATTTTGGAACTTTTCTTACAGTTTTGTGTATTCTATAGCTTAATATATTTAATTAGTTGTGGAATATCTCTTCCAACCTGCTGGGATTAGAATATCATCACTAATTATTGTTATAGTTTGGACCATTAATGATGTAATTATTAAATAAATTTTGATTTAGATTATGTTAAAATACCATGTGCAATTATTTTAGAAAAACTGCATAATCATAATTTGTAATAACTTGCATAATATATTAATATATTTTTTATAAATGAAGGAATACAGAAACTTAAACAATTTTTACATATTATGACAAGTTTTTACATATTGAAATATGACTAAGCTTTAGCGAATGCTCAAATAGGATTATATTGTGATCAATATTAGAGGTCTGAATTATTTAAAAGTAATTTTACCTTTTCACTGCAGGGAAAGAGTAGGATAATAGCAATTACCGGCCGGGGTACCCAAGCAAGTGCATCTGTATCTAGACCATAGACATCTACTACTTTAAACTTCTCAGGAACTCCCAGAACATGCATGAACTGTAATTTACGCTATTAATACAAGAACTTAAGGAAATATTACTTACAATCAATTACCTTATTCATAACCTAAAACAAAACCAAACATTATTTACTTATACCCAACACAAATTCAATTACTTACGTCTGGATTTGATTCTAAAGGAAACAGCGACATGTTAATCGAATTTACACCTGAAGTCCTGAACAAATTGTTTAATATTTTATAAAATAAAAAAAATCAATATTTGCAATGACCACAAAAATTTTATGACAGTTTCCACTTTCCACCAATATGATAATGACGTTTTCCACCTGTCAACTAGTAAGGAGCAACCTTAGACAAGGAAAGAGAGAGGACGCTTAACCCTATCGCTAAAGCTAAAAGTGAAGCCAAACTACCACCAGAGGAAATGGTCAGCGGCGATATTTTTAAGGATTGACTAATTCGTATTTAAAATGAAAGATTTTTGCACATTAAATGTTTTATTTAATTTATTTTATTTTATACAAATATTTTGGAATCAAAATTAACGAAATTTATTTATTTATTTACTTATTTATGGAATTTTAAACCTCAACGCACATCGCCACTGGCAAATAATCATGGTGGGTGAGTGAAATTATTAATTATAATACAAGTCTGACACGGACTTTTCTCTTTTGTCTTTTTGCTCGATTGGTATAATATAAGTTTTTATTTGATATTTTACGGCCAAACTTATTTTGAATTGCCGTGAATCAAGAATATAAATATTTATTAATTATTAAAATCAGTAGATTATGGTACATTAATCTTAACCATCGAGTAAAAATACAATGTCTGTTTGCTCGATGATCTTAACATACCTTTTGAATTACCCACTAAATATTATTATAGTTGAGCACCCAAACACGAGGGGCGCGAAAAACTGTCAACACGGTGGTTACATATTATAAAATTTATAAAGCTAAAAACTATGTTATTTGTTATTTCTTGTGATGTGATTTATCAATAAATACTAATGAAAGGACAAACAAATTTATTATATTAGTTCAAATAGTATATTTATAGTATAGTTTAATGTATTGCAGATATTGTGTGTATGCCGAATTCTATATTAATGGAGAAAGCTTTGGTCATGGAGGACAGATCCAATATTTTAAGGCGGATGAAAGTCTGCCGTTTCTGCCTTTGTAATGAAGAAAATGATTTATTAAATATACAAGAAAAACATGTACAGGACCCTGATATTAACATTCCGCTACCTTCTTTGCCATTACAAATTATGGCTTGTGTAGCTATAGAAGTACTCCAAAGTGATGGAATGCCTCAATTTATTTGCAAAAATTGTCGAAATATTACTACACAAGCATATATTTTTAAAACGAATTGTAAAAAATCAGACGATGCACTTAAACTGTTTCTCCTTACAGGCCAATTGTCAAAGCCTTACATGCATAATGTGGTTCAAATTAAAGTATCCCCTGCTTCTGAAAAATGTATCTCTATAGTACAGGAAGATGAAGAGATTGAGAAGACAGAAATAGTTACTACTACTGTTATGGAGGGAGACACAAAGGTATATATAAAAAATAATTTTAACTATCCTGTAAGGTTTTCTTACACAAAGGACAGTTACCCAAATTTGGAATACAACACAATTCTTATTGCTTCCCATATATCCATAATAAAAATTTTTATGTTAAAATTTTAGATCAATAATGCAGCAGTAGAAATTGATGAAGCAGAAAATGATTGCTTGGCTGAGGAAACTCTAGAAGGCACAGTTGTAGAAGTAGAAAATGAAACTGTAGAAACAGTGGAAACTTCTTGTTTTCCCTGTAACCAATGTGACAGATCATTTCCATTACAACAGTTATTAGATTTACATATGGAAAAACATGCTAAAGAAAGAAACTTTGAATGCGATGTTTGTCTTAACAAATTTTACACTATATATGACCTGCAAAAACATTCACTTATTCACAATCCTGATAAGGGATTTGAATGTGCGGTTTGTAACAAATCATTTAATAGGGTATCAATTTTAAGAAAACATGAGAAGATTCATAAAGATGTAGAATGGCACACATGTCCTAAATGTGACAAATCATTTATGTCTAAAGAAAATCTAAATTATCATATGCATGACCACAATAAAAATAGACCATTCAGTTGTAAAATCTGCAACAAGAGTTTTGTTTTTAAACAGGTAAGATCTATTACAACCCAAATAAAGTAAATCAGAATATATAGGCATAGGAAGGTGCTCATAATGGGATGGCTCCAATAATTTTTTTTTTTTATAAATTCTATTATTAAGAACTCAAGAACAATTGCTTTTTCTATGAATAGAAAGTGTTACTCTATGTGCTAAAGTAAAAAGCTTGGGTGAGATGAATCTCCTTGTCTAACCTCTCTTTGTTGTTTTATCTTCTCTGTTTTTACTTGTGATGATGCATTATCTATGCATATGTTGCAGTATATATTATATACATACTTAATAATTTTTGTATATTGGTCATCCATCTCTATTGTTACTTGAGTCAAATGCCTTCTTGTAATCTATTCATCTGATTATTTGATTAGTGTTCTTATTAAGGTAAATGACCAGTCATTGCCACTATAAGAAAGTTAAAGCTAAAAACCATATAAAGCCAAAAAACCAATAATTGCCACACAATTTTTCAAAATACCAATTATTGCCACCCAGTCATTACCATACAGAAATACCTCTACATTTTACCGAAAAATATTGTTTATTAATAAAAATTCCACAGGTTTTAGGCCTCAAATACATCCTCTGGCAAAGTAAATTCATAACGGATCCATTCACCAGTGGATAAAATAATAGGGGTCGGCGGTATGCCTAAAACGCGATTTTCGTTAACAAAGTAGATGTATTTTTCATCACAAATAAAAATGTTCTTTTCAGCACTAACAGATTTCATAGACATTACTTGTACATCAAAATTGTCCATAAGGCCTTGGATAATACAAACATATATGTATGTTATGGATTTTTTTTACCACCTAGGTATTTCACAAGTACATAGTTTCCCACACTAAGTTCTCCGTGAGTTAATGGGCAAAATTCTTTGTTAGGGTCATCACAAAAGTCTATGTTATCACAGCTTCTACCACTCTCGACCCACTCTTCATCCTTTTCATCGTCATCAGAAATATCCCGTTTTAGCTTCTCTTTCAATAGACATTCTTGCTCTCTTGCAATTTTTCTTTGGTTTTTTCTTCTTCTTTCTTTTTCTTTTCATTTTCTTCTTTCAAGTGATATTCACGCCAAGCTTCTGATTGTACCACGGATGGAATCTTTTCCTTTAGTTTTATCTTCTTTGTCTGAGGTTTTGGGTCTGGCCAAAACAGTGCTTTCTTAAATGGGGTAGGAACTTTGCATAGACTCTTAAGTGTACTATGTGATGTACTTGGTTCAGGAGTAGACAATATATCTGAGCTATGAGTACCAGAGGTATTTGGTTGGAAATTTTTTACTTGTGTGCAGTTGAATTGGAAATATGGTAATATTGTTTTGGATGGTACATTTAATTTGGTTTGTTGTGTTTCCATTGTCCATTCTTTCCATATGTTAAAAAGGGATTTATCCTCAATAAAACCATTCCAATCCTGATTTTCATTTAAAGTTACCTCGAACCTATTTAAAGTTTCTTCACCCGGCTTTCCTTCAAAATACTTAAGTGCTTAAGTGACACTCTTTGTGTCACAAAGCTTAAGAATAAATGATTTCTCTCTTTCTGTAGAATTTATTATTTTCTGAACTGTATCCAAAAGCTGGGAAAATGTCTTTCTGATAAATGTAAAATCCATTTCACTAAGACTGATTCATCTTCCTTGGTTAAAATTGTAAAAAGGTCCATAGAACAAAATAATGGTGACTTTCCATCTCTCTTATGCCTCAAAGTAATATGAGGAACTCCATGAATTTTTGCTGCTGTAGCTGCTGGGATTCCCTTTTTCACATTCTCTAGGGCTTTGGGCCAATTGCTCTTTCGAATAATTCTGTTTAGGTGCCATTTCTGGAATGAATAAAATACTTGTAATAGCAAATATTAATGTAACCAATGGTTGCCACTTTAGAACCAGTGATTGCCACCACTGGCAATAATTGGTAAAAGTAAAGTTTTTGTAATAAAAAAAATAGTGGCATCACCGTAATTTTAAATAGTAAATTTACACATTATAATGAATTAAAAATAAGCCAAACCAATAATGGCCACTTGTGGCAAATTGGTATTCATAAAATATTTTGTAACCAGTCATTGCCACGTACATTTCTTTAGAAATATGTACCCTTAACTGAATTTAAACAGCAAACAAATGTAGTTTAGAATATTTAAGAGGAGCACATGTGTAAATAATTTTATAAAACAATCATTTATAAAAGTGAATAAGAAAAAGAAAAATGTACTTACCTTAATTTTTTCATAAGAAATCATAAAAAATAGAAAGACATTTTACACAACATTACTCTAAGGGGTATACAACAAAAATGGCTGATGCTTGGGTATTGTATAACAGTATACAGTTGCCAAACTTAATAAGGTATTAGTACTTGCAAAAAATATAATTTGATTTCAAGTAATTTTCTTATTTTCTTAGAATTTAAGGGTCAGTGGTAATAATTGGTAGAGTGGCAAGGACTGGTTGTTTACCTTACTTATAATATGATCTACAGTGATATAACCTTTTCTAAATCCTGCCTGTTCCCAAGGCTGATAAAAGGCTAATAGATCTATAGTTTTCTAATTTATATTTATTTCTCTTTTTAAATATCAGTAAGTATTATAATAGCATTTAACTAAGCTCACACTAAAGTGGGTACTACACTTATATCTATAAATTTTTATGATGTGTTGTCCTTCCATATTTGATCCCTTCGATTACTATTCCATCGTCACCTGAAACTTTTTTATTTCACATAGTGCTCAGGAAATCACAAAACATTCTTCACCATTTTTGATTTCCAGTTTCCATTGGTCTCAGTTATTCAGAAGGTACTCTTTTATTCATCTTGCTTTTATATCCATATCAACTGCTTCTCTCCATCTTAATCTCAGTCTGCCCTTCTTTTATCTTCCCTGAGGTGTCACACTATTACGCACAATATTATTTTCAATATGCTTTCAAAACTTAAAGTTTTTATAAAAATAAAGCAGCAAAATTTTGTTTGTTTTGATAACCTGACCTAATGATAACAATAATAACAATAAAACAGTCAGGTTAGGTTACATATTCAACAGAAACTTAAGTTGCTCTTGTTTTGTGTATCTTTCAGGATATTGATATGGAGTTATCTTTCAGGCTATCAGCATAAGATGTTTTTTAGGCTTGCTTGTCTTTGTTTTGTACCTTTTTAATGTTGGTTTCTTAGGAATTTGATTAACTGTTGATCTCAGGCACTCTGTTGCAATTACACTAACTTGATTAAACAAATATAGTCCAATTTATTTTTAATCGATTCTTGTTAATTTAATTTTCAGGGCTTAGAGCGTCACGAAGTAATTCATAGTAACAATAAGCCTCACAAGTGCAACTACTGCGATGCTAGCTTTATTTCAGCCATCAAACTCACCAGACACATTACGTCGCACGCTGGACTTCGACCATATCCGTGCAAAATATGTGGAAGAACCTTTCTTCTTAGTCATCACTTGACTCGACATATGCGCAGCCATTACTCGTCCAATCCCACAGAAACTATTATAGGACAGTACAAGTGTGACATATGTAGTATGGCTTTCCGAAGAAAAGATTCATTGATAAATCACAGTGCCATACACTCTATGGTTAACCTTAAATGCGTCATTTGCAATACGACATTTGAAACAGTGGAGTTAGTGAAAGAGCATATTACTACACATTTAGCTAGTCTTCCATTCCCCTGCGATAAGTGCGATTACAGCTTCGAAACTGAAGAGCAGCTAGAAGAACATGAACTAAGGCATGCTGAAATGGAATATGAAGAACAGATTGAAAAGGAAGTGTTTTCTGAAAGCATTATGCAAATTACAAAGCCCTCGCAGTCTGAGGAGGAAGATGAAGCAATGGAGGAAGACATGGAAGGAACTGAAGTAAGTTAGAATGTTTCTTTTATTCATTTATCCAATGTATTTTTTCTTAACTTACTTTATACACACATAACGTCGTTTTTGAAGGAATAAAGCCTTGATGATTTTCTGTTCTTTAAATATGTCCTTATATATAGTTTTTTGAAGCGAAATTTCTATACTCGCATTGTATTACTTTTTTTCTGCAATAAAATGCTGAGGTCGTCATGGAACTAATGCCACATTATGGGTCATCACAGTAAGCGTCATAGAATAGCAGTTCTTGATATCAATTCACTACTTTCCATTAATTTGTATGAAAAATAATATAGACATTAAACGGGAAGTAAAAAATTTAGAGAAGATTTGGGGTAGTAATTTACAAATTTTGCCGAAAAACCCTTAATTTTGCAATAATTTATAAATGTTGATAACTTTGTTTTTACATAATGACATTTAATATATCTAATCAAAATTGTGGCAGTTAATGAGTTATTAAAGTATATTTCACATAGATCAACCAAATAGTGTATTTTATTCAATTTGTTTATCCCAAAGAGCGATTATTTAAACAACTGTACTTGCCCAGACAATCACTCTGTATTCTGTATACACACTTGTATTCTGAAGTCAAAGTCGGTTTTATAAGAGTTCATGTTTAAGGTATATTAAAAAAATTGCAACAATTAGCAAATCAATTTTTTTAATTGATTATTATTATGATACCTGTAGGAAAAGGAACAAAGAAGCGGTGTCGTTATGTAGTATGTAAAGGTGATACACACTCTAAATCATAATATTATTTTATAAAATTTTCAAAGCCTTTGTTTCTTTATAAACAACTTTGTTATTTTTATTAAATAAAAAATATTTATTTAATATATATTTCTTTATAATAAACCAGTGGCATAAGATGTATAATATATATTATTAAAATTAGTAGTAGTTTTTCTGGATAGGTGGCGCTAGATTTTCATTACGGAAAGACAGACAGAATAAGCAAATTATAATATTGATTTGTTTAAAATATAAATATTAAATATATAATAAAATTACTTTATTCAATTAAAAAAATATATTTAAACTTTAAAAATATAGGAAAGTTGTTATAAAGCTTCGCGGAAGTCGACTGTACCGCCTACTGTAACATCTTTTTTTTTTAATACAGATCTCCCAATTTACAATGGTTGATATAAACAATCCCGCAGCTGGCGTTAGACCAACTGTTACTACCACTAAGAATGTTGCCAGTGCCGAGGAAATCGTAGGAGAATTTTTGAAAGACGAATTCGACCCAGACGCGGAGCAGTCAAGAGAATACGAACAAGAAGAAGTAGAAGAAGTGCCAATCGAGCCTCTTAAACCTATTGTTCGACAAGAAGGAACGAAAGTTTATCAGCGTAAAAATGTACATATGAGAACACTACCTGAAATTAGGTTTGTAAAATTTATGTTTATTTTAAAAAAATAGCTATTTTTTTATTTATGGTTATTATTTTTTATCCAGATTAAGATTGCTCTCACTTCCTTTAAGGAGAAAATTCTCTCATTCCAAATACCTACGGTATCAAAAGGATTGAGCTCTAATAAGACCTTTTCTGTTTTTCCCTATAGGACCCTTATTGGGGTCATTGAGACCTACAGTATTGTGCGAATTAATGTGAACAAACATAATTAATTTGTAAAAATGATTTATTTAGGCCAAATGTAAATTTAGGTACACTTACATGATATTTTTTCATGAATTAGTATTTAATATGTCCCCATTTTACTTTTATGACTTCCTGGAGTCTTCTAGGCATGGAATCCACAAGTTTTTTGCAATTGTTTGTGATTGCTTCATCTCTAAATCACACCTTAATCACTGCTTCCACCATTTTTGTTTTTGTCGTACATTCAAATTTTTGCAGTTTAGCCTTATATATTGCCCAAAAAGTTTCAATAAGATTAAGGTCAGGTGAATTCCCAGGCCTATCAAGAAGGGCAATCAGAAATTTATGAAGATGAAAATGCTTTTTCATCGGATTAACGCTTTAACCAAACTACAAGTCTACAATTGCACTGTCTCGAATTCATAAATTGAATTTTGAATTGGTAGCTCATTCTCCCTATTCCCCACCTTCAGTTTTTAATAATTCTGTTTTTTAGAATGACTCCCTCACTGATGGAATCTAAGTCAACAGCTGCCTTAACGGATATTGCTATGCCTGATACGAGCACCAATTTGTTGGGAAATAGAACTGTAAAAATGGGAGATAAGATGGTGAAAGTTCAGAAATTTATTCTGACTACAGATGAAATGAAAGCTATGGCAAAACAAGGAATAATCGAGTTAAGAGGTAAGTTGGTATATTTAAATTGTAATGTTTGTATTATGTGTTCATTTTTTCTTTTATTTGGTAGATCATATCTGATTGTGATAGCAAATAAACTTTTTACCAAAGTTTATTTACCTTAGCTCATCTATCGCAACTGGGCCCTGATTCTATTTCATTTCGATGTCGAAATTTAAAAGCGGCTACGCCATGACAGTCGCAATCGCTAGCTATTCTCATTCATTTCGATTTTAGTTAAAAGTGGGGATATTTACTTTATCATTTTGATACTGCTCAGAATTTGGGTTGGCCGTCTTGTTTATTGGCTGCACGCTGCACAACGCTGTTTGTTTTGTTTCCATTACGCCTTTTGTTTCTTGTTTTGAGTTGTTAAATTTTTAGTGGCCATGCTCAATTATTATATTTTGAATTGAAAGAAAATGGATGGAAAGGCTGTCAGTGATGGTGGCACTAAATTGTCTGTGGACCACAAAGAAATTATGGTGACTTTTGACTTAGTGGTTATATTCTATAGTTTTAAATTTACTGCAGCTTAGTAATACTTATCCTAAACATTTTGGGTGTCCTAGAGGCATAAACACCCTCCTCCAAATATGGTTCTAATATCCTTATCAAATAATTTGCAGCTTGTTTATTAAGGCGAAATTGCTGCCTAAATTGAGCATCACTTAGTGAAAAAGGATTTTGAGTATCCCGTAACAATCTCCTTAAGGCGCATTTCTACAAGGAATGCGCCAATTTGTGCGGAAAAACGTAAAACTTATGTGATAATGGCGACTTGAGGAGAACTTTGATATACAATTATACCAAGCAGACATCAGAGAAAAGTACCCACCAGGCACCAGCAATAACAATAACCAAGATTAGAACAGCAGTAGCCAAATTGAAAAACAATAAATCACAGTGATTGGATCAAATTGCATCGGAACTACTGAACGTAGGAGGAGATGTATTACTAAAAACAATACATAACCGCTCTAAAAATTCGTGATGAGTTTAAAGATTATTTTATATCTCCAAATAAGAGAGTACAATTTCAAGAGCATGCCATTCAAACACATAATTTGTAAAAAGAACAAATAAATTATTACAACCAAATTATTTTTTGTTTCTATTACATTATAGCCTGTTTAATTTCATTACAGCCTGTTGAATATCTTCAAAAATTGTGGTTTCCAAATATTGGGACATTGTATTTCTTTAATTTTTGCACCACAGTATTTTAAAAAATAATCAGTAGCTTCTGGCTTGGGGCCCCCAGGTACTGCAGTTCTATTTTTATAGGTGTCAAAATTTCGACCAATTGTTTTGCCTCAGTTTTCCTTGCAAGAATCAAACAAAACAACACCGCCTAAACTGAACCTAATCTCACTTCTCCCAGTCCAGTCAGTCATGGCACATTAATTTCGACTCAAAATGAAATGTCAACCACCTTCTTGAAGTTGAAATTAATTTCGACAAATCGAAAATTAGTGACGTCCTTTGGTTAGTTCAGCTGAAATCCACTAGGCTCGCAAAGTCGCATTTCGACGTCGCCATATTAATTTCGACATATTTTGAGTCGAATTCTCAATTAGAATCAGGGCCCTGATCTTGGTATGGAGTTTTAACTCTTCGACAGATGAAATAATTTTGGTTAAACGGACGAGTATGGCCGAAATTTATCTGACGTGGCCTGGTCTATACTTATATGGTTCATGCTCTTTCTTTTGTAACTATTTGGGAATAAACAATTATTCTGTAATAATCATTTTATTGGATTGTTTTTGTCCATGATCTTTGCAAATAAATCTAGAACACATGTCAGACTTGTCCGTATACTTATTCTCATTTCCCACACAAAAAGTGGACTTTTCAAGTTTGAAACTGCTGGCAGTTGAAACCAATTTTTGTAATATTCCTTCCACATTTTTCGATCGCCTTGATAACGTTTCCCTGGAACTCAATCAAAACCGCATCCTTATTCTCACATTAATTTTGTTAAAGAAAATATTGCAACGCCTACTGTAAATCTGGACCCTATGACCCCACCAAAGGTTAGATTAACCATGAACACGGACCCTTCCAACAATCGATATCTTCTAGCAAGATTAAGAGAACCAGAGATATTAAAAGCCATCAAACTGCACCTTGACTTTCTGTACGACCAACCTGCTTCAGTTTGTTATGGTGGTTTTACGAAAACAAGCATCAAACTATTCTTGGCTTCTGAGGGACTTTCCATGACTACAGAAGATCTGCGAAAAATTTATTTGAAATTTCATGATGCCTATGGAATTGGTCCAGCTGAGGTAGACGAAGATCTAGCTGTGTTTAGGTCCTTTATCGCTGCTGAAAGAATTATCCATCTGCAAAGATCAAGGGAATGTCATCAAAATTACTTTTCCACCGCTTCTCCAAGACGAAATTTTTAAATGTTTCGACGTGTTCTGAGGGTCTAGAATCCTCATATTTAACTGCTAGCAACTTTGGCATGGTTCTTATTAATATTCGATCGATTAGAAATAAGACAGACGAATTATTTTTGTTTCTGGAAGAATTAGGGTTTCCCCAGTTAGTTGCAGTGACGGAACACTGGCTTGAAGTTAATGAGCCAATTTTCATTCAAGAATATACCACAATTGCTAGGTATGATCGTCCAAGTTCAGCTCATGGTGGCACTCTGATTCTTTCAAATAACAATGATTTTTCTTCAGTTTCGAAATATGACTATTTGCTGGGTGAAAACTACTTCGAATTTTCTTTGATTTATAATAAGAAATTTAATCTCTACATTATTTGCATTTATAGATCACCTAGCTCTGATACTGAACTATTTTTTCAGAGCCTGCTAAATTTGTTAGATATTCAGTGCCCATTAAAAGCAGAAAAATTTTATGTGGTGATTGTTAATATTGACTACGCTGCTGTTTGTGCGACCCAACTGTCTTTGGTAACTATTTTTGAATCATATGGTCTCACAATGCACGTTAATTCTCCAACAAGAATCTCAAAAACATCATCCTCGACAATTGATTATGTGGTTTCCGATTTTCCACCCGCTGACGTCCATTCTACAGTTATTAGTGGGGGGCTTTCTGATCATGAAGCGGTATATACCAAGTTTAGCAGTTTACAAACACCTCACTCAAAAACCCGACGATTAGGTAGGATTTTTTCCACTCAAAACTTTCGTAAATTCTATAATTCATGCTTGACTTCTGACTGGAGTTTTTCTTCTGGGGACATTGACTGTAATGTTAGTGATTTTCTAAATAGACTTGTATCTATTTTTAATAAAGCATTTCCTCTATTAAACATCAGGCCAAAACATAACAAACCTTGGATTACCAAAGGCATTCGCATATCTGCGAAAAATATGCGTTCTCTGCTATATATTAAAAAATTTAATGACAGTATCCCCATCTCTGATTATATCAACAAGTACAGAAAATGCTATATAAAACTACTCAAAGTAGCCAAAAAATCCTACTTTCATAATCGCTTAACAAGCTCCAAAAATATTTCAAAAGAAACTTGGTCAATAATAAACGATTTTCGAAATAAAACCAGTACAGCGGATCAAACCTTTTCTTTTCCTAACCCCGAAAATCTAAATGATTACTTTGTTAATGTGAGTAAAAATATAACCTCAACTATTTCGCCACAACAAGATCCAGTTTCCTATCTCTCTAATTCAAAAAACATTGCTGATACCTTCTTTTTAAGACCAGTTGATAAGACGGAACTCATTTCAACAATTCGTAGTATAAAAAGCACATCGTCCTGTAGTACAGATGGATTATCTATTAAAATTTTCTCAAATCTACCGCATAATGTTTTGGAGGTCATGGTCTCGCTAGTAAATGATTCCCTTGAAAAAGGTACATTCCCTAACTGCCTAAAGACTGCCATCGTCATTCCTCTTCATAAAGGTGGAGAAAAATCTGATGCCTGCAACTATAGACCTATTGCCTTGTTACCAGCACTATCAAAAATTATTGAAAGACTTATAAAAGTTCGACTTATGCCTTTCTCCTTAAATATAATATTTTATCGCAAAATCAGTTCGGCTTTTTGTCTAATAAATGCACTAGTGATGCCATATTTTCTGTGTTACATGATGTATATCTATCACTAAACAGTAACCTCTCCTCCGCCACCGTTTTCTGCGACTATTCCAAAGCCTTTGACTGCGTAAATCACGACATTCTATTAAAAAAATTAACTTTCTACGGAATTCGGGGTGTGTCTTTGAACTGGTTCAAAACTTACTTGGTAGGTAGGAAACAATTGGTTAGAATAAATGACACCGACTCTAGTTGTAAAGATATTGAGTGTGGAGTACCGCAAGGTTCAGTATTAGGTCCCATTCTTTTTTTACTTTTCATTAATGACATCACTTACTTGAAAATTAAAGGGAAAATTTTTCTATTTGCTGATGATACCAGTATTACTTGGAGCAGCTCTGATATTTCAACGCTTCATTCAATTATAACCGCTGATTTACTTATAATCAAGGCTTGGTCAGACTCCAACTTACTTAGCTTTAACGTGGATAAGACTGTAGCATTATCTTATAAAGGAGTCATGCAACCCTTGCTTTTGAATGAGAGCCAAATCAATATCGTAAATTCCGTGAAATTTCTAGGTATTCTCATTGACAGTGATCTCAAATGGTCCTTGCATACTGACTCCTTAAGGAAGAAACTAGCCTCAGCTTGCTTTGCAATAAGATCTGTTTCGAAGGAACTAAATTTATCTTCTGCCAAAATGGCATATTTCTCATTGTTCGAGTCCCATCTTCGATATGGGCTTCCATTTTGGGGTTCTAGTACAGCGGCCCAATTTGATACTATTTTTAAGTTGCAAAAAAGAGCAATCCGTTATCTATTTGGTCTCAAACAAACAACTCATTGCAAGACCTACTTCAAAAATCACGGAATTTTGACGCTTCCCTCTTTATTTATTTTGGAAACGGTTTGTTTGATTCGAAAGCATCTAAACATTTTTCCCGATAGACCTGACCATGGCTACTCCATTAGAAATTCGGATTGTAACGTTTATTTGCCGATCCCGTCCACTCAGCTAGTAAAGAATTCTATTCTATATCGTGCAAAGAAACTTTATAATCACCTTCCAAGAGAAATTAAATCCGCAACATCCTTCATTAAGTTTCGTAAGGTGACAAAAATCTATCTCTCAGAAAGACCATATTATTCAGTTGACGAGTTTCTTAATGTATAACAAAGAAACAAAATTAGTATTGTTTATAATTACATTTGGGTGTCTCAAGCAGTGGCTACAATTTGTCTCATTTGTTGTTGTCTGTACAAATTATGTAGGTTATACAATAATTTTACTAATTTAAAATTGTGTTATTCTGTTTTTTACTATATTTGTTTTTGTTTTATACTTTTTGTACTATTTGACTGATTTATTTTTTAGCTTTGTCCATAAAATTGTTCAATAATTTTCAGTGACAATAAAGCATATTTCTATTCTATTCTAACTCTTCCATCGCCTTCGATTTGTGTTGCTCTTCGTTCTGTATTGTCTGTCACAAGTTTTGATTAGCGTTCGAACAAGCGGTCCTAAGATTATTTCTATAGATTAAACAATTTATAACAATTCTTTTTTTAGGAGGACAAGTGGTACTAAGAAGTAAAGGTCAGCAAGTACTTAATGCCAGCATTAAATCAATTGGCAAGAACGAAATCGACTCATTGTTGGATAAAAGGGCTAAGATTCAGCTGAAGAAGTATGATAAGAAGATTGTTTCAGGTGGTACCAATGATCGCAAAGATTATGCTGGTGTGTGAAAAGAGACTTCCTAGATTATAATTTAAATAATTCGTAATATAATATGTGCATAAGTACATAAGAAATTTTATTACATAAGTTTGAGTCTTTATACAAAAAACTATTAGAGGTATTTATGTAAAGTAATGCATTCAAAATAGAACAGTGTACATTAATTAATAATATTTAGTTGTATTGCATATATTACAAATGAAGAAGGGAATCAGGCACATAAGAAATAACAAAATTCATGATTCGTAGATTTAAAATTAATTTTTGTTTGAGCTTTACATAAAAACTAAGCTGTTTTGTGAGGTGCGTGCATAAGTTACAATTGAATATGTCTTACTTAATCAACGTGCGAAACTTATATCCAAAAATATATAGGACAAACAATCTACGAACCTCCGCCAGAGGTAACGAACACATACTATGGAACAAGGAAGCTGCCTTAGCCTTATTCACAAATGAAACCCAAAGTAGACATCAGTTCTTGCAGACAGATTGCAGACATTACACACTTCAAAACAAGAAAAATAAGGAAAGTCACAGAAATCAAACCTCAACGAAGCTGTTGTGGTTGTTCCTTTCCTACAACATAAGACGAGAACCAAAACTTCTTTATTGGTTGATAATAAACAACGCCGATTAATTAATCTTTGTCGAAGCAAGGTGTAGTTCGATGTTGAAATAATAGTAGGCTGCGATTTAAGTATTTTTATTTTATTTGAGCACTGTTGATTACAAACAATTATTGCGGAAAAGAACCGGCTTTATAGAGATTTTCAAAACAGGATGACATTTTTTACTATCTTTTTCTGGCTTATAGTATTGTAAATTTAGAAGCAATAAAATATTTTACGACAGGCTGTTAAAACTTTTAGTGAGGATAGAACGAAAAAAATACAGGTGGGAGGTTCAAATTGTTACTTATATCCTAAAAGGAAATTTGACCTAGGTTAACTGATTCCTAAATTTGGCGGTATAATATTTTGTAGATAATATATACAAAAACGGTCTGAATTATATGTAGTATATACAGAGTGGCCCAAAAGTCTGGAAACGGCTAATTATCTCGTAAATTACTAGACATAATTATACAACATTTGAGGTACACTTATTTTGGGATACGGAGGTTCCATATTTGGTATTTGCAATGTTGCCAGATTTTCAGTTTCTCTTATATTACTAGTAACTTTGGTTTTTCAAATGCATCACCCTGTATATTCAGTCATTATTAGAATCTCCTATTAAATACGAGTTCAACCATATGTAACACTTATGATTTTATGTAGTTTGGAAGGTCTTAAATACATAAAACAGAAGTCTGGCAACGCCTAAATTGTTTCAATACATTTTTTAATACTAACTATTTTTTAACATAACAGTTACGTTATTAAGTGTTCAAAATGTGTTCCATTTGTGAGTTGACAGCACTCTAATCGATGGTAGAATGCGTCTACCACATTTCTCCATGATTGTCTAGAAATTATTCGAGATTCATCGATAATTCATTGCCTTAGCTAAGACTTGCTGGTTAAGTTTTGTAAACTGAATTTTTCAAATATCTCTAATAAAAATAATCTTTAGGATTGAAATCGGGTGAACGTGGAGGCCATTCAATTCTACCTTGTCTACCAATTTATCGCCCGGGAAATATCTCATCTAAATAACGCCGAACATTTACGCCAACTATCTGACGTTAAATTTCTTTCGATAAAAAAATGGCCCAATTAAATAAGTACCTACTATAACTGACCATACATTTAATTGTTGTGGTCTTTGAGTATGGTTTTCACGCATTCAGTGTGAGTTTCACACGAGCTCAGCTATTCAATACGAGTTTAACCATATGTTCACTTGATTTTATGTATTCTGAAAGATCTTAAATACATAAAACAGTGCAAAATATGTAGATTTTAATAAATTTAAATATTTAAATGGAGAATGCTGTGATTTTGACATTTGTTCACCATTTAAATTATGAACTAAAATTGACAGTAGTTGTGGTTCAAAAAGTTCTGCAATTTAAATTGCTTCTCTAAAATGCCGTTCTCTAAACCGTTCTCCTATTCATAAGACTACGGTTCAAAAAACTGTAAGGCGATTTGAGGAATCTGGAGAAGTAAAAGATAGATACCGATCAGGTTGACCGAAACGAGTTATCAATGACAACAAAACTTCAGATATAAGCAAAGTTTTGTTGAAGATCCACATACATCCCCAGGCAGGGTTGCACAAGTACATGATGTAGGTCATTCTTCAGTCTTACGTTTATTACGTAAAAATAAATTTAAATCATACAAAATTAACTTATTGCAAGAATTAAGGGAAGATGACTTTGGTCGTAGATTAGATTTTACTGAGGTAATGATGGATAAAATTGAAAATTATTAAAATTTCGTTAACAGAACATGTTTTTCCGATGAAGCAACTTTTACACTGTGTGGAAGTGTAAATCGACACAATTTAAGGTACTGCTGTGACGTAAATTCAAACTGAAGACTGAATGCGTGAAAACCATACTCAAAGACCACAAAAATTAAATATATGGTCAGATATAGTAGTTACTTATTCAATTGAGTCATTTTTTGTCGAAAGAAATTTAAACGCCAGATAGTTGGTGTAAATGTTCGGCGATATTTAGATGAGATATTTCCTGGACGATAAATTGGTAGACAAGGTAGAATTGAATGGCCTCCACGTTCACCCGATTTCAATCCTAAAGATCATTTTTATTAGGGATACTTGAACCATTCAGTTTACAAAACTTAACCAGCAAGTCTTGCAGAGCTAAGGCAACGAATTATCAATGAATCTCGAATAATTTCTAGACAATCATGGAGAAATGTGGTAGACGCCTTCTGCCATCGATTAGGGTGCTGTCAACTCACAAATTGAGCACATTTTGAACACTTAATAACGTAACTACTATGTTAAAAATGTTCTAAACTATCAATTGTTACGTTTTAATGTATTTGAAAATAGTTAGTATTAAAAATTTTATTGAAACAATTTAGGCGTTGCCAGACTTCGGTTTTATGTATTTATGACCTTCCAGATTACATAAAATCATAAGTGTTACATATGGTTGAACTCGTATTGAATAGGAGATTCCAATAATCACTGAATATACAGGGTGATGTATTTGAAAAACCAAAGTTACTAATCATATAAGAAATACGACCAATCTGGCAATATTGTAAATATCAAATATGGAATCTCCGTATCCCAAAATAGGTGTACCTCAAATTTTGTATAATTATGATTAGCATTTTACGAGATAATTAGCCGTTTCCAGACTTTTGGGCCACTCTGTATATTTGAGAAACGTTGAAATTAATTGAAATGTCATTAATCCGTTCCAGTTCCCGAAACACTTCAACTCTATTAGTTACATGTAAGATAAAGAAAAATGTATTTACAAGAATAAACATTTATTTATAAATAGCAAATACATATTCTTTAAAGCATAATAAAAATTGTACTTTTGTCACTACTAAGCAACCCAGTTTTTACTCATTTTTAATTTATTTAATAATTTATAAGGAACTTCATAACATTTTAAAATAGTATATTATACTACAAGCATTTAATGGTGGTCATTATGATGAGAATGTATAGAATACCAGCATTACAATGGCAATTAAATGCAAGTAGTGTACATGATTTTTTTCTACGATTATTCACAACAAAAAAAATATATTAAATTGTATTTATTTTGTAACACAAAAAAATTATTAAGTAGTTGTATGATTTAACTAATTATTTTATTGATACATTTATATTTTGAATATTACAATTATTATTAAAATGAATTTGTGTTAAATTTTCAATATTCCTATCGTCGCCAGACATTTTCTTAAAAATATTTAATCTTGAAATTTATCAGATTTTTTAAATATTGTGAACTTTCACAGCATGCATGTATTTGACCTGATATTGCTTATTATGTAAATCCCACCTACAGAACGTCATCTCGCGATTCTATTGTTTAAAAATACAGGTATTGAAATTGTAATTTATATATTAAAGTATGAGAGAAAAAAAAATATATACTATTTAGATTTTAGATAAACTTGTTACCTTTTTGGGGTTCTTTATCTCATTATTAGTTAGCGCATTCTTAGTTCTGAACGATTGAGTAGTTTAGTATGTCTTGTTAAACACCATGTGTATTATAGTATGATAATAATACAGTCATTATTTCATATTATCTATTTATTTTCTTTTAAGTCCGTTGCACGTTATCAATGACATTTCTATGTAGTCATAGTATAATCAACTGCAAGTGCCGACTACATGAAATGTTGGTTTTGTTTCTCGAGTTGCCACGTGTTTTATTAATATTCTAAAATTTTGTGTAATATAAACCTAAAATACTGTTAATATGCAATTATTTATTTATATATTTCTATTTACAAAGTGACTATTTAAGTTGTAACTTAACCTTATAGATTAAATTTTATAAACCCCTAGGCCTTAAAAGATACAAAAACGTTTTTCTGACATGTATGATAATACATAACTCATAACAGTGAAACATGATCGTTAAAATGCAAATAGGATAGAGACATATGATATGAATATTTTGTCAGTAGCAGTTTTTTTGTAAAAAAATATTTTTGTTAATACTATTTGTTCATCATGCTCACACTCCCTCTAAGGGTAAAATTCACTCATCTCAGATACCTAGGCTATCTAAAGGATTGAGCTCTGGTGGGACTCTTTCCATGTTATCGAGTCCTAGGTGACTTGGTACGTCGGTGTATCTCTCAAAAATTTTCGCACGCATCTGGACGTCAAAAGTATCAGAGCTTTTTACATGATCTCATATAGATGTTCATTTAGACCCAGCTTTTTTATGTTTTCTAGGAGGTTCTTCGGAATGACTGCAGTGGCAGAAAGAATAATAGGTATCGTCTGGGTATTTTCCATTCTCCATTGTCTCCTTATTTGTATTTCCAGATCTTTGTACTTGACGATCTTATCGTTGTACTTAACACGCAGATTACTGTTGTTAGGTATCAC